CACTCCCACGTCCGCGGGGGAAAGCGGGGGCTGGCGCTGCCCCCGGAGCACGGAGTGTGGGACGGGTCTCCGGCCGGGGCCGTAGGCGGGTGGAGACAGCTCTGGGTTGCGGTTCGCTGGACTCCACCGAAAGTGTGCAGTGCGCAGCCTTGCTGGCTTTCCCGCGCTTCGGAGGAACGATGGTGGGCGCTGACTGTTTACTTCGTGAATGTCAAGTCTTCCCTTTCGCAGGTATCCTGGGTCGTCTTCCTGCAGCCTGCTGGGACACGGCCGCCTCTCCAGAAGCAGTCTGCTTTATGAAGCTGTTGATATGGATTGTTAAATAAAGAGCTGAATGATCAGGCAGCACAGCCTCTATTCTGTGCTTTGCAAGAAAGGAATGGTCCTTTGAGTTTGCAATATATCATTTTAATATTCCCCGTGAGGACCCTGCTTGTGTTGGAGAGGTATTAGATAAGGCGCGCGCGCGCCCACACACACACACACGCACACACGCGCGCGTAGGGTTAGGAAATATCGGAGAAACCACCCTTTAACAATTGGTTGTTAACAGATCAAAATGTAATTCAGGACCCTGCGGACAAGGCGGACTGTCAAAGTGGCTTTTCCAAATCAGTTTGCTTAATGAATTAGGAATCTCTCGGCCAGTTTACTAGTCAATAGTTGTACATATTTACTAAATCGTAACAGAAATGTCTGAAGTCTGGTTGTTTCCATGATGTGATAAACGTCCTCAAAAGATGCTTATGTCTCTTTGTCATTTAGTGTTTCCAGTGTTGCAAATACTTTAGAACGTTTACTTTGGGATGTGAAGATTATCGATTATGGCTCACTATTCCAAAGAAGAGCTGGATGAAGAATTTGAACAATTTATAAAAGAGGTAAATTTTTAAAAGCTATATCGTAAATTTGTCTTGAGAGAGTCATCCTTCAATTACCGCGTTCACGTCGAAGATACAGTCAGTCCATCACCAAACTCTGTCCACTCTGCCTCCAGAGTATACCTCTTATCCCTCTTGCTCTTTCTTTCCCTTTTCTCTGCCACGAAAAGGCCACTGCAGCAGTTTCCAGCTTATGCCTCTGCATTCCTTTCACCACACTGCAGTGTGTTACGTAAGCCAAATTCTTTTCCTCTCAGTATACAACTCTTGGTCTCCCATCACAAGTAAAATCCAAAACTCCTTATCGTGGCTTATAAGACCCTCCATGATTTTGCTCTTATGTATTTCACTGATAGATCATTCTTTCCCCTCATCCACTTTATCCTAGTGTATGTAGCCTTTTCAAGCTCATTTCACCTTAGCGGCTTTGTAGTAACTGTTCCCTCTGCCAGTAATGCTGTTTCCTTATTCTTCACTGGCTGGTGAAGATCTTGCCTTAAATATCTCTACCTCAAAGAGGCATTTTCTGTTTATCCAGTAAAAAGTAACCCCTAAGTCGCTTCTTAGTATACCATGTATTTAATTCTTGAGATAGCACTGAGCACAGCGGTTACTTTTCTTATGTGGGTGTATTTTCTGTTTCCCATTATAAGGATATGTGATCTGTGATGCAATGGCTGTGTGTTCTTTGCACATCTGCGGTACCTAATAGATGTTTACTATTTGCTGAATGAGTAAATGAAAGAATTACACCACATTCTGTGCACAGTCATGTGCTGTATAATGCTCTTTCTGTCAACAATGAACCAAATGTTTGGCAGGAGTCCCATAAGACTAGAATGGGGCTGTCCTATATAGGTGTGCCTTTTTTAAAATCTTTCATACTGTATGCTTACTGTACCTTTTCTATCTTTAGATACACAAATACCATTGTGTTACAACTGCCTACAGTATTCAGTACAGTAACATGTTGTATATCTTTGTACCCTAGGTGCAATAGTCCATGTCATATAACTTAGTAGGCTATACTATCTAGGTTTGTGTATCTATAGTTTATAAAAGATGAAGTCTCCTAACAACACATGTCTCAGAACATATATTCATCTTTAAGTGATGTATGATGGTATTTATATAAATGAAGAGGCTTTGTAGACATTCGAGAGAGTCACACTTTAAGTTGTTATAACAACATTCTTGTTCAAACAAAGAATTTGGTGTAATAGAAAAAAACCTCAGTTTCATTGTCTAATAGGAAAAATAATGCCTACTGTGTAGGATTGTTTTAAGGATTAAAAAAAAGTATCTACCATTTGCCAGGATGTAATAGGCACTTAGAATGAGTCTCACTTCCCATTTGAGAAATTGATTTTTTAATTTCAAATATGAGCACATTTTGAAAATTGAATTTATAGGAAGATAGATAGTAGTACAGGCCTTTTGGAAAATGTTTTTCTCCTCTCATTTACCACCACTACAACAGGCACTCACACTTTCCTAGTCTCCTTCCCTCTCATATCCATTCTCCTCTCTAAAAACTCTTATCTCATGGTAGGGATTTAGTAAGGCAGTGCTGCATGTTTAACTATAAAAACTTTGATTTTAGAGTCATGCTAACTTCTTTGGTTATTTTGATAAATTATTGCTCAAACAATTTGTTCAAAGACGTAGTTTACATAGTTGTTTTTTTTTTAGGAGAGCAATAGGACCAGCTTTTTAAAATATATAACTTTGTTGGGATATAATTTCACATATCATACAATTCACCCATTTAAAGTGTACTTTTCAGTGGGTCTAGAGTTAGGCAATCATTACCATAATCAATTTTAGAACATTTTTATTACTCCAAAAATAAACTCAATATCTGTTAACTGATATTCCTGTTTCCTCTCCCCTCCACCCAGCCTTAGGCAATCATTAATCTACTTTCTGTCTCTAAAGATTTGTCTGTATAGACATTTCATGGAAATGGAATTCTGTAATAAGTTGTCTTTTGGGTCTGACTTCTTTTACTTAGCATAGTGTTTTCAAGGTTCATGTATTCATACTTCATTTCTTTTTATAGCTGAATAATACTTAATTGCATGGATATGCCACATTTTGTTTATCTACTTTTCCGTTGATAAACATTTGAATTCTTTGCACTTTTTGACAGCTGAATAATGCTGCTCTCAATAATCACATACATACACATTTTTATGTAAATATTTGTTTTCATTTCTCTTGTGTATATGTCAAAGAGTGAAATTTCTGGGTCCCATAGTAACTATGTTTGCCTTTTGATGAACTGCCAGCCTGTTTGCTAAGGTGGCTGTGCCATCTTAGGTTCCTACCAGCAGTGTGTTAATTAGGGTTCCAATTTCCCTGTATTCTTGCCGACACTGTTATTATCTAAGGACCAGCTGTTTTGTTTTGTTTTTAGTGACAGTAATCTGGAAAGCACTGTGGAAGTTGTTGAAAGTGAGAATACCTAGTGTGTATTAGAAAATAGTGTGGTACTCTTCATTTATTTTTCCCATCTTTGCTGTGGCCCTGAAAGGTCTGTAGTACTATGCCTATGTTGCAAATAAACTGAAAAGATGTGAGGGGGAGAGAGAAATTGAACATCTCAAAATGATAGTGAAGTTTAGAGGCTAAGTGGAAATGATGCAACTAATTTCGGAAATTTCAGATGGGAGAAAAAGTTTTGTTGTTTTGTGTGTGTGTGTGTGTGTGTGTGTGTGTGTGTGTTTTACCTCTTCCTCTTCCTACCTGGTTGTCAGTGAAGACAATAAGTTCCTTTTAAACATTTTAAAGTAGACATTCTGTAAGTCATTGAAGCAGAGATTTTTGTTTGGCAGGTGGAAATGTGTGTGTGTTGTCATCTTGGAAGTTTAGGTCACCCAGATAACTATTCTTGTTGGAGATGTACATACTATATTGAAAAGTAGACAGGATTTAGTCAGAGATCGACGTTTGGATGCCACGTTATTAACAGCAGCAACTTGAACAAGTTGCTTCAGTCTCCTCAATGTTGGTTAAAGATTAAGTGAGTACAGATAACCTGAGTATCAATGCTGACATAGAGCAGGCATATAATAAATGCAGAGTGAGACTGAAAACGGATCAAGAGCATGGTCCTGGAGAAGTCTCATGTTAAAGAAATGGCCAAAGAGCCACAAGCAATGAAATAGATGGTTGGGAGTGGCCACAGAAATGAAGAACTGGAGGAGGTGATGGTGCTGAAGTCAGAGGTAGAGCTTCAGGAAGTTGGTCATCAGTATCAAATGCTGTGATGTGATCAGGGAGGATGACTGACAGTGGAACTCTGTGGCATTTAGGGGGCCTTTGGTGCCTGGAGGAGACCTGTTTGGGATGGGAACCAGATTTTAAAGGGTTGAGCCTTGAACTCAAGAAGTTGGCACATAAAGGAAAAGAGAGAACATAAAAGGGAGGCAGGAGTAAGGAACCTTGTTCTGTTTTGCTTTTTTTCAAAGTTGCATAGGGTGCTCATTTTTTTCATTCCGTAGTTGTGCCAGGTGCTATGCTAGGTGCTGGAGATGCAGTGCTAAGCAGGCTTATAAGTTGAGGGAGCTGGGAAAGGAAAGAGAGAGAAGGGAGTGAAGATAAATAAAATGGGATAACCAAGGAAGGAAGAACCTAGAGAGGTGAAAAGTGACCCTCTGCAGATTCTGCTTGGAGTAGAGGAAGGAATCGCCTCTTCTGAGAGAGGAAAGAAGTGTCTGAACAGGTCAGTGTGGTAATGGAGTGAGGGGAAGGAGGAGGGTGTTTTCTCCGTGATGAGGGGGACCGAGTTACTGGTTGAGGGGGTGGTATTGGGGTTAGAGTAGGGGACCTGAGGAGTAGAGTAAAATTTGAACTGGAAAAGTAGAAAGGGCAAATAAGAGTTTGTTAATTACTTCGACAAAATGCTGATTTTTTCTAGTCAACTCCATCATCTTTTCTACCCTCTCTCTATATATACTCAATTCATCTTTGTCTTGGAATTCTGTGTTCTTCTAGAGTGAGTCAAGGTAGTTTTGTTCAGATATCATTCTTAGACTCTAGAGAATGTTGAGAAGCTAGGATCACATCCTTCTTTAACAAGTTTCTCAATCAAGTTTTCTTTATTGTTGTTATTCTTCTAGTTTACTTGTTTAATTATGAAATGGATGCTCAGAGATGTATGTTTGATTTTTAAGCTATTTTGGCCATATATGTTTGGAGATGTGAATCTATACATTGTTGAGAATATTGTTTAGGTGATAGCTGAACTGAGAGAACTAATAGAAATGTTTTTAGTGATGACTCTGGGATTCTTGAATTTACAGTGTATTTTAACATTTAATATCTTGTATCTGATTCAGCTTTCAGATGATTCTTTTGAAAATTCAAACAAAACACCTAAACAACCTAAAAAAGAAATGAAGAAAAATATAGTACCTTGGTGGATTACTGAAGATGATTTTGAAGATGGTGGTAAATATTTTTGTTTCAAATTTTTTGACCACAAGGGGTCAGTCAAGACTTTGAATTTTGAATTTTGTTGCTGAAGTTTAAATATATAAAGAAAATAATACTAATAATACTAGTGTGAATTTTTAAGGTCTGAAAAATTGATTTTCATATAACGTGTACTTGACTGTATTATATATTTATTACATACTTGAGAATCTTTGTTTTTGCGTCAGCATGTTATTTACGTTGAGATAATTTGTATTTACTCATGTTAGTCATAAATAACTCAGGTATATTTATATATTATCATTGTGTTTAATGATAAATTGACTTAATATGATTTAATAAAATATTCAGGCAGAATTGCATTTGAAAGATTTTAACAAATCTATAGATTTGGTATTAAAGTTTGTTAATAACAGTACTTACAACAATAACTTACTGTCTCAATGGTAAACAACTCATTATTTATCCTCTTTGAAAGAGCTTTACCTATTCCAGAATTATTCTTTATCACGTCTTTACAAATGCAAAATTACTTTGAGTGTTTTCTTTTTTTTTTTTTTTGATTTGGAGTCTCACTCTGTCGCCCAGACTGGAGTGTAGTGGCCGCTCCCGGACACCGCAGCCTCGACCTGCTGGGCTCTGGAGATCCTTTCGCCTCAGCCTTCCAAGTAACCGGAATTACAGGCATGCGCTACCACACCCAGCTGATTTTTTGATTTATTGTAGAGATGAGGTCTTGCTGCCCAGGCAGGTCTCGAACCCGGGCTCAGGCAATCCACTCACCTCAGCCTCCCAAAGGCGCGGGATTACAGGCTGAGCCACTGAGCCCGGCTTGAGTGTTTTCGTATACTTATTGTCCTTACTATGAATATACTTATTAGAGTATATTCATAGTAAGTGTTCATAGTAAGTATATTCATAGCATTTATAGTATTCTTATAGTGAGTACTATCCTTACTATGAATATACTTACTATAGTAAGTTTATATATATATATAACATTTTATTAACATTTTTAACATTAACATTTTTAACATTATTAACATTAACAAGATATATATAAAGATATATATATATCTTTAATTTTTATTTGTTTGTTTGTTTTGGTGGGTTTTTGTTTTTGTTTGAGTTGAAGTCTCACTCTGTCACCCAGACTGTAGTGCTGTGGCAGGCTCCCGGCCACCACAGCCTTGACCCACTAGGCTCAGGCGATCCTTCTGTCTCAACCTTCCAAGTAGCTGGAACTACAGACACACGCTACCACGCCCGTCTAATTTTTTGATTTATTGTAGAGAGGGGATCTCACCAAATTGCCCAGGCAGGTCTTGAACCCACAGGCTCAGGCAATCCACTCACCTCAGCCTCCCAAAGCGCTGGGATTACAGGCTGAGCCACTGAACCCGGCTTGTTTGTTTGTTTTTAAGGGACAATGTCTGGCTCTGTTGCCCAGGCTGGAATGCAGTAGTAGCATGTTCAAAGTTCACGACAGCCTTGAACAATCTCAACAGTCCTTACCCCCTCAGTCTCCCAAGTAGCTAGGAAAGCAGGTGCATGCCACCATGCCTGGCTGATTTTTTAATTTCATTTAGAGATGTGGTCTTGCTTTGTTGTCCAGGCTGGTTGCAAACCCTCAGCCTCAAGCAGTCTTCTCATCTTGACCTCCCAAAGTGTTGGGATTATAGGTGTAAGCTACCACATCCACCCCATATATTGTATTATATATGATATATACTTTTTTTTTGAGACAGAGTTTTGCTCTGTCTTCTAAGCTGATGCACAGTGGTGTGATCATAGCTCACTGTAACCTGGAACTCCTGGACTCAAGGAATCTTCCCACCTCAGCCTCACAAGTAGCTGGGACAAGTTGCATGTATCACCATGCCTGGCTAATTTTTTTGTTGCTGTTGGGACAGGATTTTGCTAAGCTACCCACGCTAGTCTTAAATTCCTGGCCTCAATTCATCCTCCTGCCTTGGTCTTCCAAAGTGCTGGGATTATAGGCATGAGTTACCATGCCTGATCTGATCTATTTACCATATATGATACTACTACTACTACTACTACTTCTAACCCTAAGTACCTATGTTCACACTATTTGTAGATCAAAATTGGCTTAAGCATAATTTTGTAAACTGATACAATTTCTGTATCTCTTCTCTAGGGAAAAAATTCCTCTGTGGCTTTTGTCTTTTCCCATAAAATTAGGCCCGAATTTCTTAATAATAATTTAGACTCTACGTGATCTGACTGGAACCCCCGTTCCCGGCCTCCTTTGCTCCAGCCATACTTAACTATTCTATATGTCCTGGAAATACCATTGGCCTCCATGCTTCTGCATTAGCTCATGCTTCCTTTCCCTTAGAATGTCTTTCATCTTTCTTGTCCGGTGAAATTTGGCATCACTACTTTTTGTAATCCTTCACTAACTCTTCTAGCTTGCTTGTCACAATTATTTTCTCTTTTGTTTTGATGTCAAAACACCATAACAGCACTTACACATTGTGTTGACAGTTGGAACCTATGGGCTACTCCTGAGATCAGAGTTTTGTGAGGGCAGGAGACACTTCTTTTTCATTGTATTCGCTGACTCTAAACAGTAAAATGATAAACATATTTAATAAATGAATGTCAGAGTAGATTTAGTAGTCAGTTCTCTGGTTTTTTTAAATGCTACTTTAAAGAAATGCCTTATTAAACATTCAGTGAGCCGGGCTCGGTGGCTCAGCCTGTAATCCCACACTTTTGGGAGGCTGAGGTGAGTGGATTGCCTGAGCCTGCGAGTTTGAGACCCGCCTGGGCAACTTGGCGAGACTTCATCTCTACAATAAATCAAAAAATCAGCCAGGCGTGGTAGCACGCGCCTGTAGTTCCGGCTACTCGGAAGGCTGAGGCGGAAGGATCGCCGGAGCCCGGCACATCGAGGCTGCGGTGGCCGGGAGCAGCCGCTGCACTCCAGTCTGGGCGACCGAGTGAGACTCCAACTCAAAAAAAAAAACATTCAGTGCATTTTTTCATGAATTCCCAAACAGTGCCAACATGTTAAGTTTTGCATGTGAAGAATTCTTTTTTCGAATCTTTCCCCCTTTTGGTGGTGGCGTGCACCTATAGTCCCAGCTCCTTGGGTGACTGAGGCTAGAGGGTTCCCTGAGCCCAGGAGGTTGAGGTTGTGGTGAGCCCTGATAATTCCACTGCACTCCAGCTTGGACAACACAGTGAGATCCTATCTCTTAAAAGAAAAAAGAAATGGGCCGGGCACGGTGGCTCAAGCCTGTAATCCCAGCACTTTGGGAGGCTGAGGCAAGGAGATTGCCTGAGCCCACAAGTTCAAGAACAGCCTGGGCAACTTGACAAGACCTCATTCCTACAATAAATCAAAAAATCAGCCAGGCGTGGTAGTGCATGCCTATAGTTCCAGCTACTTGGAAGTCTGAGGCAGAAGGATCACATCAGCCCAGCAGGTGGTGGCCGTGAGCGTGTCACTGCACTCTAGCTTGGGTGATGAAGTGAGACTCCCACTCCAAAAAAAAAAAAAAAAAAATGATGGGATCTTGGTTTCTGTTATGCTAGTCTCTTGCGAGCTTTGTTGGTGTGAGTCATATCCTGAAGTCCAGCTTCGGAACTAGGGTGAGACCCTAGATATGTTGGCTGCAGAAGCACCCCAGCCCTGGCACACACGTTTCCATTTGAAATATCTTGGCTGTAGCTCTTGATTTTCTACAGCTGTGTGGAAGTTATTATTTGATACATTAAAACCATTGTTCACACAAAGGCATAAAATAAATTCCTTCTGAGCCCTTTCCAAGAGGACACTAATTAGGAAGTTGAAGTCAGAATTTGATTTCCTAATAAGGCTTCCTTCTAACCAAAAGTGATATTTGTTCTAATCATAATATTTATATCACACATTTTCACTCTTCTGACTTTTGAAGAAAGTAAAAAATAAAATATTAAAAAGCAGAAAGTAAAACAATATATTGCATATTGAAATTACTTGCTTTTTCCTTGTATCTGTTTTTTACAGCAAGTATATATCATTCGAGTAAAGATATTTTGACATTGTATAACTTTTCCAGTGTTTTCTAGTGCTGCTGGAATAAAGAGCAGTGCCTGGCTTATGAGGATGAGCATGATGTGACCATTGACTTCCTGCTCTAGGCTTGTTTCCTCGCAGACTCAGCCTCGCTGGCCTTTTTGCATCCTCAGATGTGCCTGCGCCTCCCGTTGCCAAACTTTTGTGCTTCCTGTTCCTCTTTCCCAGTTTGCCTTGTTACTTTCTACTCTGGTGTCACATCTTAACAGAAGTACTAATTCCTTACAGAAATATTCTTGGAGCTTCCTGTCTTGGTAGCCTCCCCTGCCCCACTGACATCTCATGTCTCCTCCAAAGCACTTAGAGTTGTGATTCACCTTTAACTTTCCTTTGGGGGCATTGCTGCTTCTCCTGTAACCTCCAATGCTTGTTGTTTTCCACCTCTCTTGTTCCGTTAGACTCGGGAAAGGAGTAGATTACTCTTCATTGCTGCTTCTAGTCCTTTATCCTTCATTCTCCTTGTGAACCACATCATCAGACCATCTCCTCGTTGCAGTCGACCACTGGTCTCCAGGTTATTCCTCCTCATTCCTCAAAGACTTTAGCTCCTCTTTCCCTGTCAGTCTCCAGTCCTCTTGTCTAATTCTTGGTGACTTCATTAACCGCATAGCTAACGCCGCCAATCACCAAGACTTCTGAGTTCCTTGACGTTCTCCACACCAGAGGTCTTGCCTACTGCCTCTCCACCACTTACGCCCTTTAATAGCCTCTTATTTCACTCATCGTGAAAGCTCATGACTGTATAAGCCACCACCCCGTCCCAGCCCTGCACCCTGATGTCTCTGACCTCTCAACTTACTTTTTCCTGCCTTTCCTGCGCTTATGCCAGTTTAACTCCTCTCGCCTCCTTGCTCTTCGCGTTTGCCTGGCATTTTCCCATCTTAGAGACTTGACCCTTGCTTCCTCTTCCTTCAGCCCTCTTCTTCCAAGTATTCGCAGGGATTGGTTGCTTGCCTCCATCAGGTCTTGGCCTGAGTGTTGACTTTTCATTTTTGATTTTTTTATTTTAAAGATGTGGGATACAATTCGGGGTTAGGTATACGAATGTTCATTGTACAGGTGAAGGCATTCCTGACCCTCCTACTCGGACCTGCAGTGCCTCCCCCTCCGGTATTTCCTATTCCTCCTCCTTGTTCATTTTTCTTCTTGGCACTTACCATTTTCTAATGTACTGTTTTATCATCATGTACTTGTTTATTTTACTTATTGCCTACCTCTGTCCACATGAGTGTAAGCTTCACAAAAGCAGTGATTTCTGTCTTTTTTTTTCACTGATAAATCCCCAACACTTAGAACAATGCCTGGCATGTGTAGGCACTAGTAAATACTTGTTGCTGATTGTCTGCTTCTCCTGTTAGACTTTAACCTTCGTGATGGTAAGGGTCTTCATTGTATGGCCAGCACTGATGCTTTTCTAGGTACATTGTTTGTCAAAAAATCTGAATAAAATAGATACTATTCAGAACCTTTGCTATATAAATATAAATTATACTTTATTGCCTAGGATTCATGAATTATTTTTTAGCTACTTATTATAAAAAATTTCAAACATATACAGAAAGAAGTAAAATGAACCTTCGTGTATCCATTGACTAGCTATAACGTTACTACTAACTCATAGTCAATCATAGTTTCATCTATATCATCTCTTATTCTCCACCCTCCCCATCCCAACTTGCTAGATTTCAGAAACAAATCTCCAGCACCACACTTCTATCCACAGATATCTCTTTTTTTCTTGTTTTTTCACCACCCCCCCACTGATATTTCAAAGCAGCTCTTAAAATAAGTACTCTGTTTTAGAACTATAACCACACTAATGCTACCTAAGAAATGTGGATAATAATTCCTTAATATCATTTAATATCTAATCAGTCATAGAGCATTTTTCCTGTGTTTAATGTCAGCCTTATAAAAAGCTTCAGATTCCAAAATGCCGTGAGAGGTTCTGTTTGTCTTTGCTCCCCCAGCAAGACCCACATCCCACATGTCCTGTTGTGTGAATCTCGCCTGCAGTGAGCCTCCAGCTTCAGTGTTGAGAAGTAATGGCTTTAAAAGATGTTTTTAACTTTTCCATATGTTTTCTTGAAATGATGCATACACCGACAAAGACTTTTGTCTAACCCCCGTTATTGTTTTAAATTGGGCCTACTTTTTCCCCTTGTGTTTTAAACACTACTGTTTCATACCATCCATAGTCTATTTCTAACAGTATTAAGAGTAAGCAACAAAAACACTCTAATGTAAAGAATAAGGAGAATACGGCAAAGGATAATCTTTAAAGTGGTAAAGTTTGTTGTGTTAAGTACTTAAACTTCAAAATAATTTTTTAAAATCTTGTCAATTTATGCAAATTTGTGAAACATTCTTTTTAATAAAGCAATTGCCATAAAGTGAATTTATAATTTTTCTTTTGTGAATTTTAGGTCTTATTGATTGATCGATTTTGAGCTGAGGTCTCACTTTGTAACCCAGGCTAAAGTGTCAGTGGCACAATCATAGTTGACCACAGCCTCAAACTCCTGGGCTCAAACCATCCTCCTGTCTCGGTATCCTGAGTAGCTGGAATACAGACATGCAGGACCACACTCAACTAATTTTTTTTTATATTTTTGTAGAAAAGAGGTCTCACTATGCTACCTAGGTTAGTCTTGAACTCCTGGGCCTAAGCGATCCTGCCGCCTCAGCCTCCTGAGTAGCTGGGACTACAGGCATGGGCCACTGTGTCTAGCCTGATTTGTATTTAATAGAACAGATTTATAGGTACTGTGCCCAAAATTAGTATAACAGTATTACAGTATTGTCATGGTGGTCAAGACAATTCTCTGTACAAAAATATTCAACTGTATTAAATCCTGTTCCTAGGACTTCTTGGGACAAAAGTGAGCTATTTGAAAACAAAGAAGACATCTCAGCGTGTTATGGAAGTAGAAGAGGAGTCTGCTGAAAAGATTCAAATTCTTAAGAGCAGTGGAACCTCGATCATAAGCACGGACAGCTTAGAAACAAATGGTAAGAATGTGAGGGATATGAGTTGATAAGTTATTAATTGCTGTGTTTATATTAGCAATTACAGAAATTAAGTCATAACTATCTTGGAGCCTCCTTTACTGAAACATGCAGACAGATTGTTTAGAATTATAACTGTAGTGAAGCCGGGCTTGGTGGCTCAGCCTGTAATCCCGCGCCTTTGGGAGGCTGAGGTGAGTGGATTGCCTGAGCCCGCGGGTTCGAGACCCACCTGGGCAGTGAGACCTCATCTCTACAATAAATCAAAAAAAGCTGGGCATGGTAGCGCATGCCTGTAATTCCGGCTACTTGGAAGGCTGAGGCGGAAGGATCGCCGGAGCCCAGCAAGTCGAGGCTGTGGTGGCCGGGAGTAGCCACTGCACTCCAGTCTGGGTGACAAAGGGAGACTCCAACTCAAAAAAATAAAAATAAAAATAAAAAATAATAGCTGTAGTGAAGCCTTAAACTTTATATATTGATTATGACTATGAGTCTATATTTGGTGAGTGAGAGCATAAGTAAAAGTATTTGTAAAAATGTTTTAAATTGACTATGTAATGTCAACGAATGCATCATTAAAATGAATTTTATTAAAATTCTATATATTAATAAAATATATTTGTGCTTTCTATTTAGAACTAGTAGTTTCTGAGCTCAATCGTAGTATTCTTGGATTGGGATTGGACACATTAGAAGAACAAGAAGAGAAAGAGCAGTTTTTTGCCAGACTTGAGAAAGGCTTGACATCTTCCATTGATTATTCAAAATTAAATAAGGAACTGGATTCTGATGATTCTACACATTTTAAAGCTTTACGTAGGTAAATACAATGCAAACGATTAAATTAATTTTGTGCTTTCTGTATTTTTGGAAGGCTGGTATGTGCTTGGAATTAAATAGGTCAACATTGTAATAGACAAGATTAAATCTTGTCTTTTAAAGATTCATTACTATAACGAGGGCTGTTCGTGTGTAGGGATCTACTGTGTTCGGATCATTTGTATTCAAAAGCCCAGTCAGAATTTGAGATTTCATGCCTAAGTTACTGTTAAGGCCAGTAATACATTGATAAGAAGTCCTTGCAAGAAAAGTAATTAAGTGATTTTCCACAGAAAAGTTAATTAAAAAGTCCAAGTTACTATTATAAATGCAGGAAAAGAAGGAAGTGCAAACCAAGGAGCAAGGACAAGTCTGTTCTGTGCCTTACCTCTATGTGTGATTGATCCTGATGGTTATCAGGAATGCTCATTTATTCTGGAAATCCTACTAGTGATTGAGCTGGTCCCCTCTTAAGTACAGTAGACCATTGTTATCTTAAGACCTTTTAAACCTAATGTCTTTAATGTTTGCAGTTTAGTTACGCACTAAACTACTATTTATACTATTTTTTATTGTAAATGGAAAGCAGATGACCTTTTTATGTAGAATTTTAAGAACACGAAGGTGTAATTAAGAGTCAAGAGAATCGTAATTCTGAGCATTAGGTGCCTAGTCTCCTCAAGATGATTCATTTCTTATAGACATTGGATAAATCTATACATTGACTGTTGTGCACTGTACAGGGTCTGAAGTTTTTGCCCTATCTGCAAGCTAACAAGTCAGCCTCCCAGTTTTATGGATGTTGACAGCAGACACGAAATTCTTGGTTCAGAACCACAGACTTATTTCTCGAAACGAAAGCCATACTTAAGTGTCATGTTTGTTCACATCAGTTAATTCCCCATCCCCCATGAGTCCCACAGGGGCATGGTAAATGTCTGAACGTGGAACGGATTGCATTACAGAAGAGGAACACTGAGCTTAGGAAATCTATTGCTTTTATAGTAAGTGGAAACAAGCCTGCTCTTTAGGTAGAACCATTACCTCATCTCCCAAGATTGCTCACTGCAAACACAGGCCTGAGAAATGGCTTAGTGTAAAAAAAGTTAGGGCTTTGCATTCTTGGCATACTCAGCATGAATATGCAGGGACACTTGGAGGCCATGGTGATTGCTTCTCCCAGCAGTGACAACACAGATTAAGCATGCGTGGTTTGTGGGCCACAATTTATTGTCACTTTGCAACATTTCTTAACTTTTTCTTGTCTCTTAACAATAATCTTAACTGTTTATATTTTTGCTCTAGGACAGACTGGCGTCAGAGTCCAGGAGGGGGTTGAGTATAGGTGTTTGCTGTATTAATATTATTATTATAGTCTTATAGTTTCTTGAGTCTGCTAATGATTTCACTAAAGAGGGTTGATAGACTGAAAAAGAACTGATTCCTCGGTTTGAAAGCAAGCAGTGTATTAAATAATATATCCAGTGTAATTAAAACATGCTCAGGTTTCTTTGTCCTTTTGCGGAGTTTGTCTTTGGTGCGGCTTCTTAGTCAGCTTCCATTTCAGGATTAAACTGCTTGTTAGCATGTCAGTGCTGATGTTGGCCTTCTTTGTGTGTGACTTGCCTGTAGACTTCACTGCTTCTCATAACTTGTTGTAGTCAACTGCTGATCTTCAGTGTAGAAGAGATATCTGAGTCCTAAGATGAAATGTGTCCATGTAAATACACGCATTTGTTTATAAAATGGTTATATTTAAGAAATATGGCATTCTTTTTATGTATTGCTTTGGCAGCTACAGTTAGTCTTAGGTTTTGAAGAACCTTTACTTTGGAATTATTTTCCTTATAGCTTCCAGATTTTAGTTTTTGAACCGGAGTACTTGAGAGGAAATGTATAATTTTAGGAATTTTTAAAAATATACAAAGAAAGGGCTGCCTGCGAATATCTTTGTAACATGTTTTACCAAATTAAATAAATATTTTTTCCAGTAATCAAGCCAGTGTAGAACTAACTGAAGATGAACATGAGAATGAATCAAAACCCGAACTGACAGGTAATTTTGTTGGTTTTAAAATTTAAATATTTGAAATAATAATATACCTTTTAATAATGACGTAATAAGAGAAAAAGAATTATAAGGATAATCCTATTGTCTTGGAAAGAGCTTTGGACAGGTAGAGTGGGATTGCTGTATTATAATCTGAGCTACTAAGAAATTGTTAAAAGTGAACTACTGACAGAAAAAAGGATTTTTGTGCCATGACTGTGGGAATCTGTGAAGCTAGGACAAGGACCTCCAAAGCATAGTGGTGCACCTTTTTTTGTCTTTTGATTTCTAATGTGTCTGTGTTTTTATATTTAAAAAGGTTTTCTTGTAAACTGCACATAGCTAGATTTTGCATTTTTGTCCAATCTGACAATCTATGACTTTTATTTGAAATATTTCTGTCCTTTACAAAAATGTCTTCATTGATAGACTTATTTACTGTTTTGCCATTTGTTTTCTAGCTTTTCGTCTTTTTGGTTATTCTTGCTTTTGTCCTACATTCTATTCTGTTGGACTGAGTGTTTATTTATTTATTTATTTATTTTTTGAATTGGAGTCTCACTCTGTTGCCCCGACTGGAGTGCAGTGACACGCTTCCAGCCACCGCAGCCTCAATCTGCTGGGCTCTGGCAATCCTTCCGCCTCAGCCTTCCAAGTAGCTGGAAGTACAGGTGCGTGCTACCACGCCCAGCTATTTTTTTGATTTTTTGTAGAGATGATGTCTCGCCAATGTGCCCAGGCGGGTCTTGAACCCGCGGGCTCAGGCAATCCACGCACCTCAGCCTCCCAAAGCGCGGGATTACAGGCTGGATTGAGTATTTATAGTGTTCTACTTGACTCCTTTGGGTTTTTAGTTATACTTTGTTGTATTTTTTTCTTAATCACCCTATGATTCATGATATATGTCTTTACCTTATTAGAATCTCTTTTCAAATAATACCGTATCACTTTATATAAATTCTAGCAGTAAACTTTCCTTACCATTTTGCTATCTGTGTTAATACATTTTTCTTCTACATGTTTTAAGAAGTCCACACTGCATTGTTCTTGTTGTTAAAACAATTATTATTTTCAATTATTCTTCTTTTGTATGTATTCTTCTGGGATATAAAAAATGGGTATTTATGTTAAAAGTTTGTATATATCCACATACTTACTATTCCCAGTGCTCTGTATTCCTTTGCATATATTGAATTTTTGTCTCAAGGTATTTTTCTTCAGCATGAGGAGCCTCCTTTATCATTTCTTGTAGTTCAGGGTGTACTAGGAACAAATTCTCTCAGCTTCTTTTTGGCTGAATGTATTTTGCCTTTGTTTTTGAAGAATACTTTTGCTTGTTATAGAATTTTAGGTAGAGTTGCTTTTTTTTTCTTCTTTGAGCACTTTAATGATTTTACTCTATTATATTCTGACCTTATTTCTCATGGGAAGTCAGTGCTAAGTCCTATTATTATTTTATGTATATTATGTCTTTATTTTCCTCGGTTTGCAAAGTTTTATCTTTATGTGTGTTTTATGGCAATATGATTTTGTGTTTTGGTATGCTATTCTTGTATTTATCTTGTTTGGAATTGGTTAGGCATCATTGATCTATGAATTTATAGTTTTCATCAAATTAAAAAATCTTTTGGCCATTAACTTTTAAAATATTAATTCTGCTTTCTACCTTCTTGCCCTAACTATAAGTATTTTAGAACACTGAGACCCTGTTCCATTTTTTGAAATCTTTATTCTTTCTGTACTTTAGTTTATATGGCTATGTCTTCAAGTTATATATCTTTTATTTAATCTGCTTTTAATCTCATCCATTTTTTTTTCCTCTGACTCTAGAAGTTTCTTCTGGATTTTTTCTTTCTAATCTCCAATATTTTTCCTCATTATGTTCAGTTTTTTAATATTAAGCATATTTTACAGATCCCAATATTTGTTCATTTTTGAGTCTCTTTCTATTGGTTGTGTTTTCTCCTGGTTGTAGGACACTTTTTCCTCCTTCTTAGAAGCCTGGTAATTTTTTTACTGGATTTGTGAATTTTACATAGTTGAGTGGACGCAATTTTCTTCTTTTAAGACTGTTGACCTTTGTTCTGGTAAATAGTTGATCTCGCCACTTGATTCTTTGAAGACTTCTCTTGTTAGGGGAAGTCTAGTGTAGCTCTAGCTATCATTTAATCCTATGAGGCACATTCCATCTGAGGTTTCTACCGACTGCACCTAGTGATTAATACAGACTTCTTAGCTGGGCTCGGTGGCTCAGCCTGTAATCCCGCACATTTGGGAGGCTGAGGTGAGTGGATTGCCTGAGCCTGCGGGTTTGAGACCCACCTGGGCAGGCGAAACCTCATCTCTACAATAAATAAAAAAATTAGCCGGACATGGTAGTGCACGCCTGTAGTTCCAGCTACTTGGAAGGCTGAGGCGGAAGGATCGCCGGAGCCCAGCAGGTCAAGGCTGTGGTGGCCAGGAGCGGCCGCTGCACTCCAGTCTGGACTACAAAGTGAGACTCCAACTCAAAAAAAACAAACAAAAAAAACCAATAAAGACTTCTTACTCAAGCAGATTAGAGTTCGAAAGTCTCCCCGACCTGGATGAACTCTGGGAACTCATGCCTACGGCTAATTGTTCATGGCTAATACTACACATTAACAGCTTAGTATTCAGCAAAGAATCAAGAGGTTCCCATGTAGATTTCTGGAGCTCTGTTTCTACGTAGGTACCTCCTCTCTTGATTATTTATTACCCTGCAACTTCTAATCACCTTAGCCTTCTGAACTCTTACCTCTGTCTCCACAACTCACTGGAGATTCCTGATCCCCCTACTCCTGCTCAGCACTTTAGAATATATGTACCTTCAGATAACTATAGGGCTAACTCACTTGTGTGTCTTTTCTTAGGAATCACATTATTTGCTGCCAGTTGTCTAATATCTGAAAACAGTTGTTTCTTATTTTGGGTCCTATTTACTGATTGTTTACAAAGGAGGTTAAGTATAGTCCCTTTAACTCCAGAATGGCAGAGGAGAAAGTCCTCTAGATCACAAGGGTGAAAAATGTCTCCAGAAAGGATCTTTTACATTGAATGTGGTTTACTTTATCTGAATTTTAAGACTATTTCCTATTTGTGAAATAATATTTTCAAAGTTACAATGGTAGAAAATATATAAATAGAAACAGTACCTTGAATATGTAATATCTTTTTGTGAAAAAGGTCAGAGTGCTGCAAATTAATACTTTCGTTGTTATCCAAACAATGTGAAAAGGCCTGGATATTATCTCTGATATTTCTCATAGAAGAATCATCTGCTCAAATTTGACTTTACCCTCTCTTTTGTATACACTTAATTTGCCTAGATGTTTGTTTCTGAAATCTGACATGCTGTTTTTCTTCCTTTTGTTTCTTGTCTTTCTCATTTATCTGTTGTCCACCAACAGATTTTCTTCTTGCTTCAGACCTACTTTATTCATACAAATTTCTGGCAAGGAGGTTTGTCTTTTTTATACTGGATGATATTTGCCTATAGACTGTTCAGTTACTAAATGAAAATAACAAAATGTAGTTTTTAAAAATGCTCATTAGAGTAACACTTTTTCTGATCAGAAATAATATTTGGCTTTATTAACTTTTTACTCAGATTAAGTGCTAGACTAGCAATAATAACATTAACAACAATATTTACTATTATTAAATATAATAACCAATACTTATACAGTGCATATTATATATCAACCAGTGTTCTGAACACTTTAACCTTAGTTTTCTCAGTAGCCCTTTTTTACAGATGGAAAAAGTGATGCAAAGGGTTTATCGCCTGCCAGTGGTTTTGTAGCTGAAAGAAACAGAGCTAGGAATTGAATCTAAGCCTTCTGGCTCCAGGTCATGCACGGTGCTATGCCTGAACTGTTTCTAACACTGCCTTTGTGCAGTCCTACACATACACTATGCCCCTTCCCGTTGATTCCCAAATCCCAAGTAGTTGTCTACGTTCAGGGTCATATTCTCCCATGTCTCCTCTTTGCTTGTTCCTCATCTTTTCTTAAGCAAGTTTAATTTGAGTTTACTTAAAATTTGGTGGCTCCCACCTAGAATATTAAAGTCTTAAATTATCTTATGTTGGTCCTAACACCTAGAAGTGTAGCTAATACAGAATAAATGCCTGTAACTGTCTTGCGAATTAAGCTATTCTGACATTTAGAAAATGCCAAGCCATGTTCTTATGGGGAAGAGAAGAAAAGGTGAGCTTCTCAGCCTCGGAATATGGGTATTAGCATAGTTAACCAACTAACCTAGCCTATCCACCTAAGTTACAATATCCATACTATTCCAACCTCATCTTTCTTATGAACTAAAATGGAGATGTTTTTATAGCTAGATCTCATTAGAAGCATCCCTGTTGAACTTCCAAGCCCTCGTAACTTCCTCTATTACACTCAAGTTATCCCTGTCATTCTAAGAAAAGATTTTAAAACAGCCATTCCAGAAGTAGGTTTTCTAGTACCTTGTGCAGTCTTTTTCCTGTCAGGTCATCCTCTTTCTCAAGGTGATGTAATTTTTTGAAATACAAGTAAGATTATATTTCTTTCTAAAATGATCATTTTCACTCTGAAGAGGTTATTTCCCTACTATAGCCCACAGATCTCAGTTAATCTTGTTTTAAAAGCTAGAAACAAGAAGTTAAAAATTGATGAAGAGATCCTACACAAATAATCCCTGCCCCACCTTCCCTCTTAGTAGAATGATGGCAGCAGTTAGCATGAAGACACTTTTTCCTTCTGCTGCAAAGCCACTGTGATATAATTTGGAGGCTTTAGCGAAGAACTGCTCAGAATTCAGTATTTACCCAAGAGAAGGGTGAAAGATAGGTCTTTCATGAATGCTATTTAAGACTTATAGTGGAAATACTTGTAGAGACCCAAAAAAAAAAACCTTAAAATAAGCAAAATACCTTTGTAAGAGTGGCAAGATTTCACAAAAGTTCTGCCTTCTATAAGTAAACAATTGGAGATTTCTGTCTTTAAAAAAGCAACTATTTAGCAGCCAGGCATGGTGACTCGTGCCGACAATCCCAGCACTTTGGGAGGCCAAGGTGGGAGGTTGTTTGAACCCAGGAGTTTGAGACCAGATTGGGCAACATAGCAAGAGCTTGTCTCTACAAATAATAAAAAAATGTAGCCAGGCATGCTGGTGCACTCTTGTAGTCCCAGCTATTTGGGCAGCTGAGGTGGAAGGGTTGCCTGAGCCTAAAAGGCCTAGAAGTCTGTGGTGAGACGTGGTCCTACCACTGTACTCTAAGCCTGAGTGACACAGTGAGACCCCAACTCAAAAAATAAAGCAAATATTTAAGTTCTGTTTTAAAGATAATATAAGATCTTTTAGATAGCTCTATAAATTTTTATTTAATTAATAATATAAAACATTAAAAATATAAATGTTTCTAAAGATATCTTTGTGTTAATATTTCAGTAAGTTATGCATACTCCTTCCTTTAGTAATTAAAAGTCTTCCTGGAATTTGACTTTTTGGACAGTGTCATCCTTGTACTTTTAAAAATTATTTTCCATAGAAAATTACAGTGATGATTTTGAAAATGAGGAGGATATCAATGCGCCTTTACCTACTGAAGATGAAGAGACTCATTCCAAAGAGAATTCCACATCAGAAAAAATAAATGTACCCAAACAGGTATACATCAATTACATATTTGACAGTTTTGCAACTTTTCTTATCAATTTAGCTGGCTGTTGCTGTATATAGAGCTCGAACTATGGAGTTCTTCAGAGTCTTGCTCACTGTTGTAAACTTATAAGTCTCTGAATACTCAAATAGTTTCTTAACTCCGGATCTCAATTTAACATAAATCTTAGTGAAAAAAATCATGACAACTTATGGTTTTATAAGAGATTTCTTTTGGTCATTGGTTTCCTTAAGTTAATCTTTAGAAATTGAAAACTTAAGTAAAATTTCAAAACTAAATTTTAAACCTAATATTAAATTATACTTTTCTTTAGTATGGCTTGTCTTTGCAAAGTACAGTAAGTCCCCTTCTCCAATATTCAGGTAAGTGGTAACATTACTATATGAAACATACTCAGCTAAGATAAGGAATTACATTATTCATTCACATGCAGCATTGCTATACTCTAATGCTGTCATTTCCCAGTTCTTACCAAGAGTTGTTCAAAGCTACTCTCCGTATCGCCTGCCATATAGAACTTATCTTTGAAGCTATCTAATAGTAGGTAATAATTTATTTTGGTCTTGTTCGGGACACAGTCTCTTTTAGGACTGCATGTTAGGACTAGATGTTTTTAACATGTGAGATTGTAGAGTCTCTAAATAGAAGAAAGAAATACTTTTCAAGTATGCATAAATACTCTTATTTTTAAATCTTCTTAGTACTTTGTCTTTGGGCGTCTACATGTCAATCAGTTTTGGGAGGAAAAACAAGATGACCTTAGAAATAACTCATGATTAATGTGACCTGATAAATATCCTTAGAAATGTAATGAGATTTCTATTTGGAATATGACAATTGCAATATTTTATGAAAAGAATTAATAGGTCAGTTGAAGATATGATAGCTCAGTATATGAAGAAATATATCCTGCATAAAAATGTGTTACCCTGAATATGTGGAAGCCTCATAGAGAGCTATCTGGGTAAAAATCAAAATAGGAAAAAAATTAGGCCTGGCACAATGACTCAGCCTGTAATCCCAGCACTTTGGGAGGCTACGGTGACCATGAGCTTGTCAGTGTACTCCAACCTGGTCGACAAGAGTGAGATTCCAACTCAAAAAAAAAAAAAAAAGGAAAGAATTAAAGGTCTGTTATTATGGGAGGAGCCTACATACAGCCTAGCCAGGTGGGAGATATAGGTAATTGTAATTATTTATAATATTAATATTAATTTTTCTAAGGGAACCTATAATAATGAAGAACTTCTCTCTTGCCATTTGGTGGCCTGCCTTTCTGAAAGTGTTGTCTTTCAAAACATAGGTGAAATAAAGGATATAAGGTATATGTGGTCATTTGTTTTGAACAGTAAGGGAAAATATATTGGTAATATTATAATTGTAGGACTTTGTGAAGCAGCCCTGCTATCTTGAAGTTCAAAAAACAGGACAATTTTTTTTTAAGTTTGGAAAATATGCTTTACTTAGGAAGTTAATTAGAAAGAGTGAGAGAGGAGATTCACCTCCCCAAGGTAGGGGAAGGGGCCAAAGCTTAGGGAAACATGGCAGCCATAACTCAAAGAGCTGCATGGCCAGACCCGACCTTAGCAAAGCTGTGGCCAAAACCAGACAATTTTTGAGCAAGGTCAGTGAGCAGATGGCACCTAGATACCGTAGACAAGAGTTTTTAAGGCCTACATTAATTTGGGTAACTGCCAGGGTTGAGATAACTTCAGAAATTCTCTGAGAACTCCGTTCTCCCTGGTCGTAAGAATTACCGATGAACGAGAACAGTAAAGGAAACCTGGAAAGCTCAGTTCCTGATCTTTTCACAATGAAGTAAAGCACTTGGTTTCAAGTTTTGCTGCTATTCGCATTGTGATCTCTTACATGATTCTGGCTTCGAGAGATATCATTGTTTTCTTTAAATTTAGGAAGAAGAAAAAACCGGCATGCTGGCTAATGGTAAACATATATTCATATATTTTAGTTGGCAAAGAATTAGTCTGTTCAGAATTTCATCTAAATAATTCTGAGTGAAAGTCTTTGTTTTTAAATATCTGTAAAGAATTAAAGTTCATAGCTTTTCTCAGTAAAGTATTCCTTATGGCTACCTTAAATCCATTCTGTTATATTTGAGAATGTTTTTTTGTTATTTTTCTCAGGCAAAGGGTTGCCTTCCATTTATAAATATGCATTAGTCCTGCGCATAAGCATAGATATATATGTTGATGTTAGCCTACTGTCTTGTGCATAGGAAGAAAATCATATATTTCTATATATATATAAAATGCTTATTTTTATATTTATAAAATGCTTATTTTATATATACACATATGTAAGATTATCTACTATTTATATGTAAACATTTGTCTTTTTTTATATGTATTGCATGACTTAATAATTTTATTAGATCAAAAGAACCACACAATTTTTCTACATCCCTTATAGCTTTTCTTTTCTATTTTTCCAGTTGTGCTGCTTGATTCGTTAGACTCTGTTGCAGAAGTCGACCTTGATGAACCAGATAAAGCAACAACTAAGCCAAAGACCCTACCAGAAGTGACTGATCATGAAATGACAGGAACAGGTAATAGGTTTGAAAAACTGACTATTCTCTAAATATGAAATACTTTTTGAATAATTGCATTTTTAGGAAAATATATATAATAAGCATATTGATAAACAATTTATATCTCACATTTTTCCTCTCTATTTAATCATTTAAATAATCAAAATTTACTAATGGTTATATTTAATGCTAGTAGGCCAAGTAAAGTATGGTTTTAAATATATACTTACTAATAAATGAGTCCTGTTAGTACAAACTGTAGCACTATAGGGGAATTACTCTGCCTCTTCAGAGTATTCAGTTAAGCTTGCCATATGTAGGAGAAATGAAACTGGTTTTATTGTGCTTTTCCATAGTTCCTTCTCTGTAGGAAAAAGGTAGGTCACATCTCAACATTCTGGTATACTTAGAAACAACTAAACTTTTTAAAGCTTGTAAAGGTCTTGAGATAATGCCTTTTCAAGCTTTTTCAAAAGGTAGAGACAGGATCTCACTGTGTTTCTCATCTTGAACTCTTGTCCTCAAGAGATTCCCCCACCTCAGCCTCCCAAAATATTCAGATTACAGGCATGAACCACCATGCCTGGACCTTCAAACTTTTTAAAGCAGTAGAACCCATATGTTGCAAATGAGAACTTTTTAATCACCTTGCTTTCCAATCTCTGGTTACTGGTCAACTTAACCAATGCAGACACTTAGAAAAAAGGAATAATAGAAATCACTAACCAACTTTAAACATCAACTTAGATTTTATTTTTTACTTATTTTTACTTTTTTATTGATGTATAATATACCCGTCAGAAAGTTATAATAGTACAACTTGATGAATTTTCCAATACTGAACGCTCATGGATTCAACAACCAAATCAAAAGCAAGAGGACCCAAACCACAATGTCCAATCAAATCTCTTATCTTTAGTCACTGTCTTTCCAAGAATCACCACTATTTTGATTTCTTGCATCCACTTTCATTTTAAAATATAAATATAAAAGTAAAAACATTTACAACAATAAGAAAGAATTTTCCCATCAAGACATGTTGCTCACTTGTTGTCTGGCTAAGTATTCCACTATGATAAAAGCGTGTGCTAAGCACATGTCCCTCAGCCTCACTGCTATTGATTTAAGTAGCCATAGCACATATGTCTTATGACAGTCTGGTCACTTGTACAGTTTTTTGTAAGCAGACATGAATTCTTCTAAAAAACTAGTGCAGAGCTACAACTTTTCTAATCAACAGTATTTTATAGGAAATTCATATATGTGCCCAAGGAACTTTATTCTGAGATATGCATGAAAACAAGTAGAAGAGAAGGCAAAAGTTAACTAAAGTATTATAATTAAACAATGTTAGGGCACACTCTTCCAACGAGGCTCCCAGAATGTTAGGTCAAACAACTGAGGGTGTGGGGCGTATCTGGTGTGTGATCAATGTCGCACGAAGGATGCAGAGAATTGCACAGAAGTTAGATGGAAAATAGAGTTTATTTAAAAGGTAAATTACAAAGAGAGAGAGAGAAAAAGGAGATTTGCCTCCCCAAGGTAAGGGAGGGGGCCAAACCCAGGAAACATGGCGACAGCCGTAGCTTCAAGAGCACGTGGCCACACCAGAGTCTAGCAAGGCAATGTCAGAATGGCTGCTTGTGGTTGAGTCCTTTTAATCTTTCCCTTTGATGGGGGAAGGTCATCAAGATGATTGGTGATGGTCTGCTCCACGTCATCATGAAGGTGCAGGTAAGTGCAGGTACTGATGTCAGGTGATGGACAGCAGGTTGATGGGTGGGTTAGTCATATGATTGCTGCCGTGTTGGTGGGTTAGATGAGAGGAGACAAGGGGAGGGAATTTTTCCTAAAAGAGACTTGTCAGATGTTTACAATCCACAATCTTCTTTAGCAAAAAGGTGGTCTTATTATTATTTCTATGACTTGAACCAGCTAAGGAGCCAGAAAGTTTCTTAGAGATTTATATGCTAAACCATGAATTGAATGGTTGGGCTGTTGGGCTGTCCTTGTCTTGCATCTGATGGAGATTTGCTGAGGGGGTGGGGTAGGCTGCCAGCTTGACCTGCAGTAGAATGTCTGAACGCTTTCTAAAACCTGCCTGTTATCTGTCTCTGTCGAACCTGTGCTAGATTCAAAGCATGTCAGGGTAAAGTCTCAGCAAAAATAACTATGCTGAGGCCAAAAGACTACACTAAACTAAGTTTATTCTAGGTTTCTATAGGCACCTTCTTTTACACAATGTCTTCAAAATATTGCAGTGACATAAATTGCACATTTGAGTATGCAGATTATGTTCTACTACAATTTTTAAGTTTTAAAGCATGGTTTAAAATGGAATTTCAATCAAATATGTGGAACCCATGATTTTCTCTGAAACATTATGATTTTGTAAAACACAGTATGAGAACCACTGCGGCTGGTTATAAGAAAAACTTAGAAATAAAAAATTTATTTTTGATAGTAAACATTTTACTAAGATGATTTAAGCAGTTATATAAAACTGGTTGTTTGGTCTTATTTCTGAAATGTTCTTGATGCTAAGATAATTTGATTAGTCGATTACTAAAAGATAGTAGAGCATGAACTTATTATCTTGTAGATTTGGATCCATATTTCCAGCCTTGCCACTTATCATCTGTGTGACATGAGATAATTAATGACTCTAAGTGCCTGTTTTTTTCTTCTTTAAAGTGAGGCCTTGTGATGGTCATTTGAGCTGCTGTGTAGCACATAGTACATTGTTAAGATTCAGTAAGCAGTAGCAGCTCTATGGTTGTTATTATTTATATCTGCCCCCTGTTAATACAAACTTACAGTAAAGAACCTGAAGTCATACAGTATAAACACTGGTTGTAGGATATTGAATTTCCTAGTGTTTTAAAAATATACTTGAAGGTCTTCAGATGAGCATCTGAACTTGATTTAAGAATCGAAAAGTTTAGTTTTTGTTTTGTTTTGTTTTGTTTTACCATGTTTCTTCTAGTATTAAGCAAGCTAAGTTTAGATGAAACATTATCAAAGATTGTTTTTTGTTAATAATTATTTGTGCTTTGTTGTATTAAAGAAGTTAGTAAATATAAAAATTAACACCAGGCCAGATCTGGCTTTTCACTTTTTTTCATCGGTCTCACAGACAAGTACCATTTTGTGCTATGGCTTCATGACTGGAGTGATCACAGGGTGACAGTATTGCTCCATGATACTAGGCCCTTCCCTCTGAAAACAGGATTCAATACTTCTCAACTTTCTAAAGTTGAAAATTATAGGGAATGTTGACCTGTAATAATATGTAAAATAACTACATAGAGACCTTTCTTTTTAATGTAAAAGGCAGATAAGTAATCCCTTTTATTTTCATAAAATGTATGGAAAAAAGTTAACTTACATGCCCATGGAATTATTTTTAATATGACTTAGGTTAATGGCTCAAGTTAGTAGAAAAGTCCCTCTCCGTCCTGTTTTCTGAGCAGCCCAATACCTCTTTCTCCTTCATTTCTGATTTCAACTTTTAGGTTCTTTGTTTTTCTGCAGGTTTGCTCTGTTTGCTGCTTTAAAGCCTAGAACCTGCTCTTTCTAACACTTCATACCTGTTAAATTAGGCGTGAGCATTCAACTACTATGCTATTGAAGTCATTTCTTTTATGTATACTCAGAAGGTACTTACACATCCTGATATTTTTACAGAGGAACAATAATACCTTGTGCTTTTCCTTTGTTCATAAAAATTCTTTCAGTTATTCTCCTCTGAGTGTGGCTAGTGGTTTAGGGGAAAACGTAGGCCTACCTTAACAGGCAAGACCTTTTTCCTCATGGCCTCTTTGAATATTCCTGCCCCTTAACTGTTGACAATTCTGCTCTGATGGTACCCCCCCACTTTTTTTGTTTTTAGTTTATTTAAGCAAATTTAGTATTTATTGAGTTTGCTCCAAATAGCCATGGGGACCTGAAACATTAGCTCTGTAAAGATCTCATTGTAAGACATTCCTACGCAATCTTATATGTGACACTCAGCTGTCTCTTACGTTTAGAGTTGAAAACAGCCTCTCAGAGTTGTGTACTATAAAGATTACAGTGTATGTATAGGAGGATGAGACAGTATGTACTATTTTATGTTTAAGCATTGGCAGTGGAAGCAGTCTTCCATTGCTCATTATTTTCTCTAATTTTGAAAATTCTCTTTGCTAGTAATGAAAGTCAAAAAATAGAGAATATGCATAAAAATCTGAGATCATTATCATCTTTGGATTATTTGAATTCTTTTTTCTAGATTTGTCACTTGGTGGAAAGAGAAGGTCAATAGGGAAAGAAGAGCAAATGATGACATCAGTGTTTCTGTCTTGGGTGACTGAGTAAAGAGTGATGCATTAGCTGAAACAGGAAACGCTGGTAGTAAAACAAGTTTCTGTGGGCTTATAATGGGTTCATTAGGGATATGTTCAACGCGATTTACTTAAAGGACAACCCAGGTGTCAGAGAGTTTGATATTCAGAAAAGAGTTATAAGGACAAAAGACATAGATTTGGGGGTCATGAGCATAGGAATAATAGTTGAATCTAAGGGTCTTGATGAAATTAGTCAGGCCTCAAAAATGGTGAGAGGTTCAAAAAAGAGGGCTAACAGTGGAGCCCTGAGATGAGCCATAGACCATGAGAGATGGAAAAGTAGCCATCAGAATGGTGGAAATAACAAAAAGAAGAAAGAGATGCAGAAGAAACAGTTACCAGGAATACTTCAGTGTCACATGTCTCACAGAGTTGAAAAGAACTAATGACAGATGGATTTGGCCACTAGGAATTGCTTTTGATTGTAATAGCTTTAGTGGGATGTCAGAACAAATTGGATTGCAAAGTTAGAGGGATGAATTGAGGTTGAAAAAATGCAGACTACAAGATGCATGGTGGCACAGGGAAGCAGAGAGAGTAAGAGAATGATAGTAGTAAAGAAGAGGTAGAATCCTTCAAAGGAATATGTTAGCTTGGGAAATTTCAGAATAGTTTTAGCCAATGTAGAAGAGCGGATTAAGAATAGTAGGAAAAGAGGGCAGTGACTGGTGAGGTCAGATTTTACACTTGACACATCAAGACATGCCTCAACTTGCTGAAAGAGTTATTGAGCCTGCTGTGAATTCATACTGGTAGGCTATAGCAGCGAATTACCTAGTTTGTACTTAACTCTGCTTTCATAATGTTGCTATTATCCTACAACCTTATTCACCATTCCTAACAGATTAAGGGATGATATTAGTGTTCTGTATTTCTCATATATTTGTGATGCAGTTATTCCTGGGGATTACATTTATTTCAACAGGTATCTCTTATGGACAAAGCAATAGTGACATTGAATCCCTACATCAGGCTTACTGCCATATAGCCAATTCTTTGGGAGATGCAGATGAATGCAGAATTGAGAGTAACACAATGGAAAATAGTAAGAGCTCAGTGAAAGATCATCTTCAAGAAAATGAAGAGTCTTCAAAAAACATCTCTACTACTGAATCTGGTAAAAGCTAATGACAGATAGATGAATTTTTCCAATTATTTGAGATTCTTTCTAAAGAATTACCAGTGTAGTATTTAAATTTAAATACAATTTGCTGTGGTGATTGTTTCTTAGTCTCTGAATGTAATTAAAGAGTTTGTTCAAATTAAATACAGGAATCATTGGTTTAACAATAAAATTAGAACTGACCAGGCTTGATGGCTCACACTTGTAATCCCAGCACTTTGGGAGGCCAAGGTGGGAGGATTGCTTGAGACCAGGAGTTCAAGACCAGCCTGGGTAACATAGTGAGACACTCATCTCTACCAAAACAAAATGAAATTAGACCCAGATACAGAAGTAAAATTTTAGTTTCTCCTCTACTATGCCTTGACTAAATTAAGAAATCAGTTGACCTTTTTTACTCACTTGCATTTACATTTATTAAAAGATTTTGGTGTTGTTTTTTTTTTTAGAGAGAGAAAAGTATTTTGGGATTAACTAAATGCATATGTAGCAGATGTGTATGTGTAGCTCTTATTTGTTACATATATTTGATATTTGATAAATATCAAAAGAGGTTTTCCTGGAACAAGCAAATTTACAATGGGAAGCCAGGTTTATTGCATTTGCCGTTTTGTTAAGTATGTCAGTTGGAGAAAATATAATTTTGGTGATATTCAACATTAAGCAATTTACAGGATATTTGTGGCTTCTACTTTCACTTTTTTCCCCTCTTAGATCTGCCCACAGTAGAGGAGCTGATGAAACCTATCAGAATAGAGTCCTTCGGGGTCAGTGGTTTTGCTTTACAGCCTGTCAGGTATGAGTTTTTTGGAATGCATTGTGCAGGTTAATTAGTTGGTTGAGTTTTTATCTGCTTATTGTCTTGTCATTGGAAACTTTTGCAGTCATTTGTACTGTGTAGTCATTCCTAGTGAATGATGATGACTAATTTTAGCCTGTGTGAGTCTGACTGTGAGTCATTGCTCTTTTCTTTTTATATTTGTTCTATTCACTCAACTTGTGAAAATTATTCTAGTGATAAAAGCAAAAAAAATAGGTCCTACTAAAAAAGTTGCTGTCAAGCTGGGCTCGGTGGCTCAGCCTGTGATCCCGCGCCTTTGTGAGGCTGAGGTGAGTAGATTGCCTGAGCCCACGGGTTCGAGACCTGCCTGGGCAGCAAGACCTCATCTCTACAATAAATCAAAATATCAGCTGGGCGTGGTAGCGCGCACCTGTAGTTCCAGCTACTCGGAAGGCTGAGGCGGAAGGATAGCCGGAGCCCAGCAGGTCGAGGCTGCGGTGGCCAGGAGCAGCCACTGCCTCCAGTCTGGGCAACAGAGTGAGACTCCAACTCAAAAAAAAAAAAAAAAAAGCTAAAACACATATACTTACATTAAAGGCATAGCAATAATTATAGAAATATCAATAATATACCCTTTAGTACATATATCTCACAAATCTTTAGTAAGCTATAGGATGAATAATCCTTGAAATCATCAGAAGTTTATTTCTATTCATATCACCATCCCTGTGGGTCAGTAGGGTTGGGGTGGGGTTCTGTTTCACATACTCATTTAGGGATCCAGGCTGCTTCTATCATCACATAGTTTTAAGGTGGTTAAATGTCATCCAACCAGTCAATAAGAAAAGAAATAGTTGCACACTCTTTCTTTTAGCTGCTTCAACACAGAAGTGTCACGTTGCTTCAGCATACATTCTGTTAGTGAGAACCAGCACATATAACTAAGCAGGTCCAAGGAGCTGGAAAATGTGGTTTGCTTCTGTGCCCAGAAAGAAAAATAAATGAATTTGGTAGGTATCTAGCCAATCTCTGCCAGGATATATCCCTCTAATAAGTTAGTATTCATCTCATTCTTCTTCATACAGACCCACTTCTGTTTACCCCGCTCCAAAGCAGACAGCCCAAAGTTCCATTCAGGACTGTATGCGTCTGAAAGGCCAGGATTTCTAGGTGGAGTTCAGTCCTTTCCATCAGCTTTGGGTATGGCTCCTCATTGTCTACCAACAGATGAATTAAAAAAATAAGTTGTGTACTTCCTGACCCCCATCCAGTATATAACAGCGGAACTGCAACAGATACTCCCATTCAGAAAAGAATCAAGAAAATAGAGCAACCAATGGTTCAACTTTGAAAAGCACCAGAAAGACCTTGTAAAGATTTCCTCCCTTGGGAATGGGAATTTTTCTTGCTTAGGCCATTATTCTGCTCTTAAGAAGGAGCTATCTTTTTTTTTTTTTTTTTTTGAAGATATGGGTACAATGCAAGGTTAGGTACGTAATGGTCATGGTACAGGAAAAGTTTGGGTACCCTTACTGATGTTATGTGCCCCTCCCCCATGGTGTCCCACTATTGCCAATCCCTTTCTTACAGTATTATGATAAATGTTCTGGATCCGCTTATGAGTGAGTACATGTCGTACTCAGGTCTTTGTTTCTGTAATAAATTACTGAGTATTAACAACTCTAAATCCATCCAAGTTGCTGAAAAGTCCATAATTTTGTTTTTCTTTATGGCTGTATAATATTCCATCATGTATATGTACCACGTTTTCTTTTTTTAAAAATCTGGAATTTTTAATTTTGATAGTCTAGATGTGGCTAAAGATTTTTAAAAGATAAATAAAACAAGAAGTTTTAATAGAATTGACTTTGGGAGTAAAGTCTACTTAGCCAACACCTATCCTCATCTCTCCATTAAAAAATAAAAAAACTTCACAAAATTTAATGTTTATATTTGATATGACTTTAAATTGTGCAGTTCCAGCAATTAAGGAATTATGTAGGTTAATGAGGTTTTTATTTTTAATTCAAAAAAAAGGAAATATAATTACATTGTTCTGTATAGATCCTGGTTCCATTCCTTGGAGGATTTGTCTTGTATGCTATCACTGTTGGCCACAACCAAAGTGAGTTTTGGGTTGGGATTATGCCCGTCTTTGAGGATACACTCCTTTCTCAGTACACTTCTGGACTATAGGTAGTTTTAAGGTTCCCATTTGCTGACTTTTGGGGGCTTGGGAATTTTGTTTGTTTGTTTTCTTATATAGGGTTGTGGTTTCTTTGACATTGTAGTTCCTTCAAAAAAGTTTAGTAACCTGATCTGTTTGGTGCCAGTCAATTCCATGTACCATTAATCAAACATAAAGTTCTTTGCTAGACAGAGGTTTTAAATAATCTGCTTTATTCTTTGGGTCCTTGTCCTTCAGTTTTGTTTTTGTTTTTGTTTCTGTTTTTTTTCTTCAATTCATCTGTGGCTGTCTGTATATTTTGGGAAACTATAACCTTAAGTGTGAAGATAACACCTTTAATGTGATCTTTGCCAAGAAACTGAGTCACACTTTTCAACCAAGAAGTTTCCTGAAATCCTGCATTCTCATTAGAATTGTTCAGTGCTGAATCTTATAGTTTAGGTCTAGACAGAGAGTGAACCCAAGGGCCCCTGAGTTTGAAGTCTCTTTCTGTTCTCTTTCAGGTCTGCTTACAAACCAGTCCATTCTATCTTGAGTTCATCCATTTTTTGGTAATATCTTGCCAAAATCGGCTGATAACAGCCAGCACTTTAACTCTTTGTTCTCTCTAGTCCTTTATCTTGGTGCTCCAGGTTCAGCAGGCATATGGTCTGCCTTGTAAGCCATTGTAGGTGACAGTTTAGCAATGCTTTGCCATTCTAAAACATAGGTTGCCATCTCTCCAGTGTCTAGTTATTAGTTTTCTACCTCCCAGAACCTGGCCACTAAGCCAGTAATAAAGCTTGTTGGGTTCTTGGCACCAGAAGACTCACATTCTGCAGGGTGGTGAGGAAATAAAGTTTAATTGGTACCCAGCAAAGATGGAAACAATTTTAATTAGCATCTATACAGGTTCTGCTGCTGTTAAGAAGTACAGCACTATATTTCTGATGATTCCAGCTACTTTAGAAGCTTCTAATGGTTACTAAGAAGCCAATCTTCATAATATGAATATGGTAGCCTCTCAAACTGTTCTTGAATCTTAGTGTATAAATTATAAATAAATACTCAGAAGGTTGAGGCGGAAGGATTGCCGGAGCCCAGCAGGTCAAGGCTGCGGTGGCCGGGAGCAGCCACTGCACTCCAGTCTGGGTGACAGAGTGAGACTCCAACTCAAAAAAAAAAAAACAAAAAAAAACTATAAATAAATGACCTAATTGACACATGATTAAATAAAATGAGAATAACAATTCTCAATTCTCTGGAACCTCTATAGTTACTACTGTTTAACCACAAATACTTCCTTCTGATGTATTTTTCAGATTTTTAGTATCTGATTGTCTGAATTGCTGCATCTCATTTAAGATCTGTAAACTACAGAAATGATTTTAAAATACTAGTGATTTTTCTGCTTTATATTAAAATTTTTCCAATACTGTTATTGAATTTATGCTTTTTAGTATTTATTATGCCTCCTTGGCATAAATTATGATTACTTCTTTAGTTTCTCCTAGAAATCTGTAAAATATTTCTCTTGTTCCAAATACATGTTGACTTTATAAGAAATTATGGATAAATTATGTATCACAAAAAGTTTGCTTAGAAATTCATATACTTTTTTTTTTTAGATTGGAAAATATAGTTTATTTAGAAAGTAAATTGAGGAGAAGAGACAGAGGAGATATGAGAGAGAGTGAGAGAGGGAGAAGAGAGGAGATTTATCTTCCCAAGGTAGGGGAGGGGGGCAAAACTTAGGGAAACACGGCCTGGCCGTGGCTCAGAAAGCACATGACCAGACCATAGTTTAGCAAGGCAATAGCCAGAGATTTATATACTTTCTTAATGCAAAGGCAAGCTCAGTGTTTGGTTTGGTCTTTCTTTAAATTAGGTCTCACAGTTGCCTGTGTTTTATACTGCATTAAAATTATCTCAAATTAAAAGCAACTGTACTATGTGAACCTACTCTGTTAACCGGAATTGTAAATAATATATTTAACATTGGTGGTTTAATTTGAATAGTTACAATTTGTATAAATATATATATATTTAGTGTGTGTGTGTGTGTGTGTATTACTGATATTTGAGGAGTCATTATATAGGATTCATTATCTATGTACTGTTTTGTTTTCTAGCTCTAAGAAAGTAGCTGATAGTAAAGAAACTGAATTTGTTAGCCCTTTGCCCCTAAAGATGAATTCAAGTGTTACATCACAAGATCCACCACATGAGAAACAATTTTTTGAAAAAAATGAAACGGATGTAATTCTACAGAAGACAACAAATGAGAGCATGAAAAATAGCTGTCCAGGAGTAACTGCTACAGAAGAACATATTGATAAGATGTACCTTGATATTTTGAGGAAAAAAATATCTGTTACTCCTTCATTATCTCAGGATGACAAAATTAATAAAGTGAGTATTTATTATCTAAATTGATATGATGCATTGAGAACTGAAGTTGTGTAAAGAATATAACTATTGGTAGGTTTGTGCTTCTTATACTAGTGGGGTTGACTGTATACTGACATCCATTCACAGTAGATCCTGGATATTTGGGGGTGATATTTATTGTGAAATGCTCCCGTCCTCAAATCCAAAAATAGAAACCGTTCTTTACACGTTTCTTTCTTTTTTTCTTAGTAAATATAGTCCAGAATTTGAGTAGTATTAAAAAACAGTTTCATTCATCATTGTGCTCCTTGTTCAGCCTTTCCAGTAGTTTATACTGTGAGTAAATTGACGCTCTGTAAGCATGCCATTAGCAGCTGTGAGGAAACTGACGTTTTATCTGAAGTTTTTGTTTCCTCTGCTCTTGATCGCTCTTGCTTTCTAGTCCCCATGATGTCAGTGTTTTCAATTTTATGCGTACTCTGAATCGTTTCCACTTCTTTGTGGCAAGGTATTATTAGTACGTTTTTTAAAGCATCTTAAGCAGTTCAGTGGGAAAAAAGATATGTCATTTCAAAATATGTTCTTCCTTGTTATCTTCTGGGTTCATTCTAGTAATTGCAAGTCTTACTTTCTGGCAACTTATTTTGCTTTACATTGTTTCAGTGCTGACTTGGAAGATATGCTTCAAAATACTAAAATTCTGAGGCATTAGGCTTAGAGAACTTTACTATAGTAGTTTGTCTTTTACAAACTACATTATTTGATAACACTGTTGTTTTAAATCTTCATTTACAATCGTTTACAATATTTAAGGGCTGGCATGGTGGCACATGCCTGTAATCCCAGCACTTTGGAAGACCAATGTGAGAGGATTGCTTGAGTCTAGGAGTTCAAGACCAGCCTAAGCAACATAGTAAGACCTCTGCACTCCAGCCTAGGCAGCAGAGTGAGATCTCAACTGAAAATAATAATAGTTTGCAATGTTTGCAACTTTACAATAGCTGAAGTTCATTTAGGTACTAAAGAGTTTATGCTTGTTGTGTACAGACTTTTAGATCTCAGCTCAGCTCTGGAGAGGAAGGGACTGTAACCGATAAAGAGGTACCATACAAGAAGGCCAGAAGTGCACCTCCTTTACTAAAAAGGAAACCCCAGAGTGGATTATATGCATCAGTTAGGAGCTCAGGCTATGGCAAACCCAGTTTACCACTGAAGATATATTCTACTCTTGAAAAGAAAACTTCAAAGGACATTATGAAAAACAAAAGCTTGAGATCCATTCCCATCTCAAATCAAGCTAGGAAAAAAGGTAATCATATACTCGTCACCATAGAATTCTGCACATATGGTATTTTATTTTCTTTGTTCTTATGGAAGAGAATTAATCGAAAGTACTACATTCCATTTGTGAGATAGTAGACAAGAGGGTGTGCTTGACCCAAGGTGGTGGTAGTGGAGATAATGAAAAGTGGTGGAATAAGGATATGGAACCAAAGATCTAAGAAACTGGGTTTTGGTTGCTAAAGTTTTTGGCTTGAGCAACTGGAAGAATGGAGTCACTATCAGCTGGAAGGGGGAAAGCTGCGATAGATTTGGGGGTGGAGGGAAGACTGAGAGTTTGGTTTTTGAGATGTCTATTTGCATTGTGAGTACAGATGGCAAGGAGGCAGTCAGCTGTGACAGTCTGGAATATGGACTATAAATACCATCTAGAAGTTGTCAAAAACTAATAAGAATGACTTTCTAAGCTATGTGACTAACAGAGTGTACTGAGAGATGAGCAGAGCTAGAGGAAAAAAGCAAACCAAGGCCTGAGGTCCGGGCAGCTAAACTTAAGGTGAGGCAGAAGAGGGGGAGCCTGCAGAGAAGGCATGGTGAGGTCGGAGGAAACCTCAGAGCCTGTGAGGAATCCTGAAGAGCAAGTGAAGAAGGTGTATGAAGAAGGCTGTGCCCAGTCATTTGCTGCAGAGAAAAGCACGGTGAGGACTGAGAACTGCCTTTTGGGTTTGGTGAGGAGGAAGTCTCAGCAAAGTGGACATGCAGCTTCTGCGGAGAGGTGGCTGTAAATGGCAAGTTAGATGGGAACAGGAGGGATTGGGAGGAGCGGAACTGGTGCTTCAAGTCCTAGACCCCCCAGGAGGAAAGTTGCTGTCCCAGGCAGCAAGAAAATGGGGCAGTAGCTTACCAGGGAGAGATGGGATCAGGAGCTTTTTTCTTTGTTCTGTTCTTGTCAAAGAAATGATAGTATGTATGCTGTTAAAAGATTCGGTCGATGTCTGTCTCCTTCTTTCTCTGTTTCTCTGTTTCTCTCTCTCTCTCTCTCTCTCTCTGTCTCTCTCTGTCTCTCTCTCTCTCTCGCCCTCTCTCTCTTTGTCTCTCTCTCCTTCTGTGTTTCTGTCTCTGTTCTTCTATCTCTTTCTCTCCTTCTGTCTCTGTGTCTCTGTTCCTCTGCCTCTCTTTCTCTTTCTCTCTCTGTCTCTGTTTCCCTATCTCTTTCTCTCAGGGAAAAAAGAAAGATTCAGTAGAGAGGGAAAAAAAGACCATGTAAGAGAGCGAGGGAAGAATGACCGGAGCGGCGTTCTTGAATGGAGTTAACTGTAATGGGATCTGGTACACAGTGGAAACGTTGGCATAGATAGGAACGAGGATAGTGCCTCCATTCTAGAAACTCTGGAGGCAGATAGGAAGAGAGAGTCTATGCTGGTAGGGTGGATCGATGGGGGGAGAGAATGTGGATGCTCTCTTCGGATTGCCTCCGCTTTCTCTGAGACTTGGAGTGCGAAGTCGTTAAATGAGAGCGAGGAGGAGGCAGAGGTGTTGGAGGTTCCAAGGGAGAAGAGCAGGTGTGAAGCAGCCGTCCAGGAGGCTTAGTCTGCCAGCAACCAAGAGTCTCTGCTTGACGGAAGGAATCAGGAATCTAAATGAACTTGCACAGTTGGATTTACCGAGAAGCCTGGTTTTTGTCAAGTGAGCACCGTGCACTGAGAGAGAAGCCAGAAGGGAGCTGATGACTATGTAAGAGAGTGATTGAACGAACGGCATGTAACATGAGGCAGGAAAGGGCATGATGGCGGTGCGGTAGGATGCGAAAACGGTGGGGTCCGCTGACTGGGAGTCTGAGTCAGGACAAAGAATTGTTGACATCCAGATCCCAGAGGATGTGAGGTGGGAGACAGAGATGACAGAGAATAGGTGCCTAGGTTAGGGATGAGATTAGAGGATGGGCGCATTCCTGGTGGCAGTCGAGGACAGGCCTAGGCTCTGCCAGTGGGAACGAGCACCTGAAGTGGAGAGGAGTTCAAGGAATCAGAAGCCAGGGACTGAAGGGTCACCAATGAGTCGATTGAAATCACCAGGAATGCAGATAGAAATGGTGTCATAGTGAGTAGGAAAAAAAAACACAACCAAGGAGAACAATGTGGAAGTTGATAGATGAAGGGAACAGTAATTTTAAGAGTAAAGTGAAGTAATATTGTGAAACTTACTTTTCATATTTCAAATTCTTACAGTATTTGTGACCTCCGGAATAAAAACAAAACATTACTAAAATTTATGTTAAAGTGTAATGATGGACAGTGAGTGTATTTATTCTGAATTACTTTTTCTCATTAGACTATCTATTAAGCATGATTTCCTAAAATCTGTTTTTATTGAAGAATTGCCCAGAGCAGTTCCTTTCAGGTGGTTGTTACTTGTCACTGGTTGTTTCTCCAGGAAGCAGGCTCTGAGACAGAGATTCATGTACAGAAAATATAGAGCATGTGGTTGGTGTCAACATTGATTAGGATGAAAAATAAACCCAACTACTGGAGCTTAACCAATAAAAGGCTTATCTTTTTCATATAACAGTCCAGAGATAGGTAATTCAGAGCTGGTACAGCTGTGTAAGGAACCACGTTCCTTCTTCTTTCCTCATGCAAAATTCATGAAGACTTTTGTCTTCATTGTCACACGATGGCTACTCAACCTCCAGGCCCCATCCATGAGGTCCAGTGAAAGGTAAAAGGTAAATGCCAACCAGATCATCCCTAATCATGAAAGAAATCACTTTCCTAGAAGCCCAATGTGGGAAACGTTCGCATCCATCTTCGTGACCAGATCTTGGATCTTGTGGCCACCCTCCGTTGCATGGAGTTCAGGGAGTCGAGTATATTTAACTGAGCACTGCAGCTCAGGACAGAATTAGATCTCTGTTACTACGGAGGAAGAGATGATTGGCAGCAAGTAGTACCAGCCATGCGGCGGTTTCCCTTTTTATTCTAGGTTAATTTTCTATGGATCTTGCTCATGTTTTTCTTCTTAGACTAATAATGTTATTGTCATGAAAGGAATACCTGCTTATTACTTAAAATTCAAAACTACTGAAAAATAAAAAGAAGAAAGCAGCAATTTTGCCAGAAACAACTTGCAGCATGCCTACGAACCGATTCCATGCTTCTCACTGTGCCTTAACTGACACAGATAAAAGGAAACGTGAATGAATGGGTGGGAGGAGAAGAAAGGCAGACATGGACACGTGGACGAGTATTTTATGAGAATGGGATCACACTTTAGCAATGATTTTTAAATAAAATATTAGGTCTAGGCTTACTTGAATTTGTGAAAAGAAAAAGGAACTTCATCCTAAGAAGTTGTATGTCTGAAGTGATTCCTATGAGGAACTAGATTTTGAAAACCAAAGGTTGCCATAGCCATCGTGCTGTTTCTTAACTTCATTTTTTTCCCCCGGGTCAGTGTTCTACTCTGTTGCCAGGCTGAAGTGCAGTGGCACAATTACAGCTCACCGCTGCCTCAACCTCCTTGGCTCAAGCAGTCTTTTTGCCTCAGCCTCCCAAGTAGCTGAAACTACATGTATGTGCCACCATATCCAATTAATTTTTTTTCTCTTTTTCACTTTTTATAGAAATGAGGTCTCTCTGTGTTGCCCGGGCTAGTTTTGAAATCCTGAGCTCAGGTCAGCCTCCCAAAATACTGGGATTGTAGGCGTGAGCCACCATGCCCACCCTGCATTTTTCAATTTCACACAGTTTCAATCAGTGCCATCCCTTCGGTGAAATATAATGTGTGTTCTATTTTCCCACTTACATGCCTTCCACCCATTTTTGTTGGTTTTATTTTTATTTGCTTAAGGTGAATTTATTATTTTCTCTCCTGCAACGTTAGTTTGCCTCAGCGTTTAGATTTCATTCTTGGTTCTGATTATTAAAGAGATTGAATGTTTTTCACTTGTCCCTTAGCTGTAGTTTCTGCATTCTGAAATTACTTTGTTTTCTTTCTTGACTGAATTTTCTTAATGCTTTGTTTTTTCAAGAAAGTTCCATGGGTCCCAAATTTTGCAATGTTTTCATGTTTGAATTTTGTAATCAAGCAATTTTTCTTTCATGTGCAAAGGGAAAAGATACTGCCCATGCGCCATTATTGAGAATAATTACTTTGGATACCTTGGTTCACAGAAAGAGAATTCAAAATTAAGAATACGGGAAGGGAAAATTCTGGTATAAAGGAACTTCCAGACTATAACTGTGCACAAGATCAATATGTTACATGTTGGGTATACCTTTTCCGAAATGCTTCAGATTTCAGATTTCTTTGGATTTGGAAATACTTGCAAGTTAAGTATCTCCAATCCAAAACTGAAAATCCTGCAATAAGCATTTTCTGTGAGCATGATGTTGACCTCAGGAAGGTTCAGATTTTGGATTTTTTGACTGAGGATGTTTAACCTGTGCTGGCTGCCTCATCCTAATGGGAACACTGTTCTGACAGATGACCCCTCTTTAGTTTGTGATAGTGATGAACCTCCGGTGATCTGGAAGGGTGAAAGGCCTACTTTTGCGATGACGCAAAACAATCTCTTTATACTTTTAGAAACTCCCCCAGAAAACCCGTGTGTATGTGTTTTGTTTTTTTCCTAACCACCTGTGTTAAATGTGTGTAGCACTTTTAATGATAAAGTAAACTCTGCATTTAAAACGTTAGCATCTTGAAGAAATAGTTTTTAAAATATAAAGTCTGAAGTTCTTCATGTAACTCTAAGGCAATCAGATAATGTATATTGACCGTTTAGCTCAGGACCTGTAGTATTTGAATGTGGACCTTAAGATTCTTTCTAGGTATTTTTCTTTAGCATTTATTTATTATTAACTGAATAATAGATTGGCCTTAGAATTAATTTCTTGTTTGAGGATATACAGGTTGTCTTAAAATTCGACAATTAGGCCAGAATATACATTAGACACACTTTTTTCTTATGTAATATTTGTTACCAGAGTATTATGACAATACTATTACTTTTTAAATTATATTTAGATTAGTTGTTATAGAGTCCTCCGTGTAATTTGTATTATTCCATTGATACTGTAATATCTTGATATACATTGTTTATAAAGAAATGTGTATTGAAAGCACACTTAATCTGAACCAAAATGCTTCATAAGGTTATCAGCTGCTTCTTTATTGTTTTGAACATTTAGAATAATTTACTTAAACATCATAAAGCCTGAAGTTATCCCTATCCACATCCTCCTCACATTTATTTAGCTCCATTTGTCATCTGACATGAGTCTTGGGTGGGTTGGCCATCTGTGTCAAATTGAGTACAATGTTGATTAGGGGTGACAAGTGTTCTGAATGCAGTCAGTTGTTAGAGTGAAACAGTGAAACAGCTGTGTTATAGTGTAGCCCATCAGCTTATTCTAAGATCATTTTATCTTAGAGTTCCCATTATGTTTGTACTTAGTGTTGTTACATAATTTATGAACACACACTTAACTTTATGTTTGTGGTGCATTTCTCTATTGTTTACAACATTTAGAAATCTTATCGGAAACAAAACTCATCAAGCCTGCAGCTATGGATAAAGCAGCTCCCAAAGCTGAGAGTTGCCTGGCTACTCCCAAGAAGTCTGAACAGCCTACAGAAACTGATTCTTGTGTTCAATTTCACACTGTAGGTATTAACTTTCAAATTAATATTTAGAATATTTTTATGTTCTAAAACTAAATTATGAATAACAAAACATAGATGCAATAAATCTGTTTCCCTTCAAGAGCGATAGTCTAAACTCTCTTGTTTAATAGTTACTGATTTTCTTATACAATAGAACATTGTTAATCATGTCCTTTGTGTGTGTGTGTGTGTGTGTGTGTGTGTGTGTGTGTGTGTGTGTATTTTGGTTTTTTCCTAACCACCTGTGTTCACGTCTTACATGGAAATCTGCTGTAATGAAGCAATGCTTTTTCTTAAAAGGACTCTTCAGGATACTGTGGTGAGAACAAGGAGAAAGAGTTACATATGTTTCAAAGAGTTCAGGAGGCTGAGGAGAAATGGAGGGGTGCGCAAGCCCTAATAGAGCAGATTAAAGCCACATTCTCAGAGAAAGAGAAAGAGCTGGAAAACAAGGTGGAAGAACTGAAGAGACAACAGGAAAAAGAGCTCTTCAGATTGAATCAAGATAATTATATTCTTCAAACCAAGGTACTACACACATTACCCTATTTTTCCTTTTGTTTATTTATTTATCACTGTGATTATTAGGTTTTGAGTTGGAGTCTCACTCTGTCACCCAGGTTGGAGGGCAAAGGCAGACTTACAGCCTCCCCAGTGCTGACCTGCTGGGCTCTGGCGATCCTTCCACCTCAGCCTTCCAAGTAGGCAGAACTACAGGCATGTGCTACCATGCCTGACTAACTTTTCATTTATTGTAGAGACGAGGTCTTGCCAAGTTGCTCAGGCTGGTCTCAAACCCGCGAGTTCAGGCAGTCCACTCGCCTCGGTCTCCTAAAGTGCTGGGATGACAGTCTGAGCCACCGAGCCCAGCTCCTTTTATTTTTTAAAAACATATACTCCCTGCCAAATTAATTGTCATCCTGGGTTCCTGGATTTCCTGTATGAAATATGGAGAGACTCCTTATGAAAACCTGCATTGAGCCCTCTGGGGGGAAAATTTGTATTGACTCCCTTTAATGATTTTGTTTTTTTCTGTGAGTCATCCTTTTAAAAACAAATCAACTAATTCATTGTGACCCTCAAGGAAATCAGTTTTCAGCAAGAGCCGCTTTAGGAGGCACAGACCCAGAGAATGTCACTGTGAGGCATTTCTTCACTTATGAGGACCATCGGCACAAAACGTCACTGTGCCGATGTAACTGGCTATGTCACATTCTACTGTGGTCAGCACCGTAAGAGGCCTTGGGGTCTATGTGGGAGTTTTCTGTTATTTTTTTCTCACTTCTCACTTCATCATTTCCTTCCTCAAATGAAAAAAAATCCTGCATTTTCTCAAAGTTAAGTAGCTTTGAAGAAACAAACAAAAAGCAAAGATGGTTATGTTTCGGAGAAGCAAGTGATCCTGTCACTGGAGAAAAATTGAAGCAAATCCAAAAAGAAATAGAAGAACAAGAGACACTTCTTCAAGGATACCAACAGGTGTGGCAGTTCTCGAGCACATGGCAAATTTGCTCTTGATCCTTTAATTATAAAAATAAGGCACATTAAAATATTTCCCTGCTCATTTAACAGGTAACAGGAATCCTGGCAAATATAAGGTAGTAATAATTATACTAGTCTGTGCATTTCCCCCAGGTAGAGTTACAATGTCTAACAGCACTGATTCGGGATTCAAAGAATCTGGTTTTGAGTCTTAACCCTACTGCCTGCTATGCCACTTGGACAGATCACTTAACCTCTCTAAGCTAATTTCCTCGTTTGTGAAATTGGGATAATAATGCAAATGATCCTCAACATATAAGGGCTTGGCTTACGTTTTTCAACTTTATGGTGGTTTTACCATGGCAGAACCCCCTCATAAGTCCTAGAGCATCTGGCCTTAGCAATAGCTTGACTTGTTGGTTTCCAACCTTGTAATGAGTTTTTCAGGATTTTAAATGCATTTTCAACTTAGGACATTTTTACTTACTGTGAGTTAATCAGGACATAGCCCCAGCAAAAGCTGAGGAGAATCTGTACATTCTTAGCGTGGCACACAGCAAACAGTCAATGAATGATACCTGTTATTATTTTTAATCACCATGTTTCTTACACAACTATCCTATCTCTTTTTAGTTTTCTGTAATGCTTTTCAGTAGATATATTGGCTAGTTTTGCTATTATATTCAGATACATAAATCTGAAATCAGTTGCTAATGCCTTGAAGGTGAAACATTTTTAAATTTCATCTGTGTGTCCTACAGAGACATGTTTGCAACATGTGGTGGAATCTTGGTGATGCTGGCCTGACAGTCAGCCAGGACATGTTTAGTGATTCCGCTACAAGACTTTATCTGTGTCCCCTGACTCCCACCCCCTTTTTTTCTCATTTCCCTTCCATTTTGCTTCTCTCGATACAGTCTTCTCTTTTGACAACAATAGGCTGAACATCGAACCTGCTAGTCACCTGCACTGTCATCTAGGGACATCCAGAGAAAGCATTATCACATCTATGATTATAGCATTTGCTCTAACTGAGGTGGACTGATTTTGCAGGACACACTGCCCTCAAGTTAGTGAGAACTGTTCAAGCTCTTCTCTTGCCAGTTTGATCTTCCCATATAAATCAGGGATTTTTAAAAGAGATTTTGCATACTTAAAGTATGCCAACTAACACATTCCACAAAGGTAGTACAAAATTTAGGTATCTAAACATTTGGGGGATTCTTGAAGAACAGACCATATGCCAGGCACTATTCCAGACATGGTGAAACAGTCTGTAGTTTTCATTAGACCCCCAAAAGCGCTTGGTTGACATAAGATTTATAATTTGGAAGAGGTTAATAAGCCAGAGCATCCAAACACAGGTTGATGCCTTTTCTTCAGTCTCTCAGATCTCAACCGGTTCATTCTTTAGCTCAAGCTTCAGAGTGAACTGGGTCCATTCTCTTCTCTGCCTTGACACTGTTCAGAAACACCCAGCGTTTAGCTCCCTGTTTTCGGTTTGTTTCAGATACAATTCCCTGGCTGCGTCCAGTTACCTCGCTACCGGAAGCCGGACTTCCAGAGTCCCCCTGGCAGTGGCGTTTCTCCCTTCTCTTAGTCCAGAAACGAAAGAGCCTAAGGAGGCCCCCGGGCCTTTGTCCCCATTCCGCGTCAGCCAAACGTGCTCGTCCCTCAGCCGCTCTCTCCCTCCGGTGCGGTGTGGTGCGGTGTCTTACACTGGCTTGAGGCTCTGGGGCTGTGGGAAGTTCTGCGAATTATTTTTTCAAGTAAGCATTTCAGGCATTTTGGAGACCATTGTTTTTAGGTCTCAAGCTTTCTTCGAAGACCATGTAAAAAGCTTTTAAATATTTTGCATACTCAAAAAGTGAAGAAATTTAAAAGACCTTTAAAAAAGTGTAAAGGTTTTAGCTACTGTGAACATATATGTCATATAGGTATTACTGACTTTTAACTGAAATATGATTTTCTGTTTTTCAAAAGGAAAATGAAAGATTGTATAATCAAGTAAAAGATCTCCAAGAACAAAACAAGAAAAATGAGGAGCGAATGTTTAAGGAGAACCAGGGTTTATTCAGTGAGTTAGCTTCCTTGAAGTAAGTCATTTTGAAATTCTTAAAATCAAATATACTTAGACTGTTTCTAAGCATTATATCATTATCTCAATAATACATTTATTTTTACTTACAAATTGTAAAATTGTATTTAATTTTACATGTGTTTATTTTTGTTTGTACACTGATTTCCAGTTTTGTAACTTTTATATATTTTATATTAAATGAATTTTTCCTTTGGCGTTAGATGACCAGTACATGCTTCTAGTATTTTCTACATATTTTCACAAATTGCAGTATTTTCAGCATTATTATAATTCACCTGAATTCATATTCATAACTGATTCAAATATTTAGTTCCAGAAAATTGAATATATGTTATTCTTCTTGATCAGTCATTAAGCCTGAAATACTTTATCATTTCCCTAAGGAACCATGTGATTACTAATACTACAAAAAGATCCTACACTAGTTCTTAGTGTCTTAGATCAGGCTCCCTAGGAGCCAATCCTGAGATGGGGATCCTTGTGGAGGTGATTTCCTGAAGGATAACTCAGGACAGGGGAGCAAAGGAAGCAGGATGGGGGAGGGCAAGTAAATGGGAATGTGGTCTCAGCCAGAGACGGGCTTCCTTCTGCTCCCACCAGAAGAGCCGGAGAACAGATTGGACCAAAGTTGGTCCCTGCTTGAGGTAAGGGGGCAGCCTCAGTCACTGGCGGGTGTACTCCGGAAGAGGCTGGGAGCTAGCCTCTGGGCCAGGAGGCAGAGGCTGCTGTTTGGCTGAGGGTGTTTCTCCTGAGAAGGAGACACCTGTGAGTTATTTTCAGCTAGCACTCACCACAGTGGGACAGTAGAACACCTGCACCTACTTAGCAATCGCATTTCAGACAATAAGGTCTTGGGATGTTGCTGTTTCCACCTTGAACGTATTAAGCAAAAAAGCTAATCCCACAAACCTGAACAAGCTAGAGGACTATCTTCTTTTAAGAAATGACTATTGTTCTTGCATTATTTCACATAAATACCGAACTACTCAGGCTGTTATCAGAAGTTGTTTATTTGACCATGAATATCATGAATGTTACTATATTTATTTACATACATATGTAAATTTTTTAAATTTATTTTCATTTTTTGATTATATAGCATAGGACAAATGAGGCAAGGTAGCCAATAGCTCATACTGATCTTACATGCAAAATAGAAAAAGGTACGCCTTGTAGCAGACAAAGCTAGCAACTACTCAGATAAGCACCAGAGAGTACCTATATGTAATTGCTTTTTTAATTGCTGCTCTCCTATTAGGTATAACCCCAGGCCAAGTACAACAATCTGCGCAGTTCTGACACATGAGAGCATTTGTATCTTTTTTCTTTCCAGATGTTTCAGCAGAGTATTTTAAAATGTCATATTTTCGGCAACCTCTTCAGGTCTCTTTCCAACCTTGGGAGCTTTTCTGTTCTCTCAATCCTGCCTTCAAAAAAAAAAAAAAAATATATATATATATATATATATATATATATATATATATATAATATTTTACACTACCTGGCTTCTGAATAAGAATATTCCAGTTTTAAAACTGAAACTCTAAATTAGCTTTCCCAATGGAATAAATGGTTTCTTTAGTACATTCAGGTTAGAAAATCTTATGTGGATTTCTAATCTCCTTGTATAATGTCTTAGTAAAAAAGAAAACTTGAGTCTAAGATCCCAATAGTAGACTGTTTTTAGTTTTATTTATTAGTTTCCATATGTAAGATTGGCAATTTGTGTCTCAGAAAAGAGTCTAGAACTATGTGGCACTGAGTACATTAATACTACAGGAAAAATGCATCACACCTTTCTGGGCCTGTGTGTGTGTGTGTGTGTGTGTGTGTGTGTGTGTGTGTGTGTGTGTGTTTTAGTGAATTAAAAGGAAATATTTTTATATTACAACTAAAAAATCTTGAACTTCAATTCTTTTAAATACAAGCATTTCCCTTAAAGTGTACTTCTCTTTTGGTATGTTAGTATTTTAATTTTTGGAGTAAACAAAATTTTTACCTTCAGTTGTAAGTTCCAACTTTTATTAGTTTTTAATTTTTGAGAATTGACTATTTTGTATTGAAAGGAGCACCTTGTTAAAAAAAAAAAAAAAAAAAACCCTCTTTTTATTTTCAAAATAAATCAGAGAACAGATGCACAAGAGTCGTTTTCTGTCTCAAGTAGTTGAAGATTCAGAGCCCACCAGAAACCAAAGTTTTACAGATCTGCTAGCAGAACTACGGGTGGCACAGGTAAGTTGCATAAGGATTTTTAAAATATTAGGAATAGTAAAGGTTATTATAAAAATCCCCATATGTGTAAAAATCTATCTTTTTTAATACTGTATATGAATAACATCATTTTTTAAATGTCATACAATTTAAAAATTAATAAATATCTAAGATTAATGTATAGTATACATATGACCTTAGTACACAGGAAATGATGTAATACTAATTTTAAATGGCATTCTCTTTATAATTCAACCTCTCAGCAAGCATTTGTCACATGGAACCATATCAGAGGCATAATTTTACTTAGGGCATGTGCATCTTATTTCAAACAAATTTCTCGTTGGAAAGCATACAGCTAAAATAAGATAATTTGAAGGTAATTGTTTACTTTAAAAAGCTAGTTGGCTTTTTGCCTGTCCTTTGAAGTGGACTCTGCACTTCTAGAGAGCAGAGAGTATATCCTACAGATATTTATATTCTGGATACCTAACACAAAGGTGAAGGTGAAATGTAATGCTGCTCCATACATTTTTATTTTATTAAATTGTGAAGAATATAGCCTAGAATTTTCTAAAGCAGTATTTGCCAGTGGAAGAAGTTTGGGAATTTTGGACTGGCTGATTCTATTTTAAACAGAAGTAATTCACACACTGCATGATTTTTATCATCCCTGTCACCAGGAACTCTGTGCTTATAGCTCCTATCAGTCATTAAATCAAAACTACTCTGCCACATTTCCAAACACCCCTTGTGGAGGGCAGTTACCTCGTCCCACCCCATCCCATTCAGAACCATAGCACTAAACCAAAAGATCCTTCCAATCTGTTTGAATTATATAAATTAGAAAAATTTGAATTATGTATTACTTTTTTTTTTTATACTTGAAGTCTCACTCTGTCACCCAGGGCTAGAATGCAGTTGGCACGAACACAGCTTACCACAGCCTCAGCCTGCTGGGCTTAGGTGATCTTTCTGCCTCGACTTCCTGAGTAGCTGGGACTATAGGTGTGTGCTACCACATCTGGCTAATTTTTTTTTTTTTATAGATATAGGGCCTCACCATGTTGCCCACGCTGGTCTCAAATTGCTGGGGTCAAGCAATCCTCTTGCCTCAGCCTCCCAAAGCTGGGATTACAGGCGTGAGCCACTGCGCCTAGTCCATATCCCTTTTTTTTTTTGAGTTGGAATCTCACTCTGTCTCCCAGACTGGTGGAGTGCAGTGGCCGCTCCCAGCCACTGCAGCCTTGACCTGCTAGACTCCAGCGATCCTTCCGCCTCAGCCTTCCGAGTAGCCGGAATTACAGGCACGCACTACCACGGCCAGCTGATTTTTTCATTTATTGTAGCGATGAGGTCTCGCCAAGTTGCCCAGGGGCGGGTCTCGGCTCAGGCAATTCACTCACCTCAGTCTCCCAAAGCGCAGAATTACAGGCTGAGCCACCGAGCCCAGCTCATATCACTTTTTAATAAAAAACTGTACAAAGTTAGGTTATGTAAAAATCTAAACATACCAAAATTTAATAGCTGATGGGTTACAGGTTCTTGTAGTATATAATGCAGTTTTATGTGTGTATCCATTAGGGAACTTTCTTTGGATGCACGTATGTGTGTAAAATGATTAGATACACAGGTAGGAAGAATGAATGAATATATGGACCTGTCTTATCAGTGGGCCTCAAAAATTAGCAAATTAAAACAAATTAAATTTTGCCATATTTGATGAAAGCTTGGGAGAACATGGTAAGGGGTTTAAGGACAGCATTCGTTTCAAAGGCTGATGGTAATGACCTTTTAAAAGTTCTATTTTGAACATACTTTTATGACAAATAGAAAACTTGAAAACTTCTGCTAAAAACACCAAAAAATGTTGGATGAAATATAATAAGCATCTTGTAAATGGAAAACTAAGCTCGTAGGAAATAAGGGAAATCTTCAGCCAAAAATAAGGAAGGATAGAAACATAGCAATAAGGATTTTTCCCCCAGGCCACTAGTTTACTAAACATGAGGCCTGTACTTTAGATAGGATATCTTCAAAGGACCACATCTTTCGGTAAATGGCAGGCTAGGAAAAATCCATACACTTTTATAAGAATCTGAGATGTCAAGAAAGTTTTTCTGTGTTTATTTAGTCTCAGGGTGGGAAAGGGAGAAAAGTCTTCTGACATTACACATGTTTACTGGATGTTCAGTGTAAATGTTACCTCTTCTGCCTTCATTTGTGTTTTAGTATGAATTGACTATGTGCAATGCTCAAATTAAAAAAATAGCATAAACAGTGGTTCTGAGTCAATGATAACCTCTAGTATATCCAGAAGAAACAAGGGCAAAACAATTCTCAGAGGTATTAGACCCTTAATCTAGGTCACACAGTATTCTCCACATACGAAATCTTGCTCTTGGTGCTCTCACAATACAAAATTACAAAAACCAAGATAAATCTATAAAATAATTACAAAAGACAGAGAAAAAATCTGCCACTATAGTGGGCGTGAGATAACTTACTACAGGATTAGAACCCAATAGAAATATCGAGTAAAGACTATGAAATAGCCGGTCTCGGTGGCTCAGCCTGTAATCCCACACCTTGGGAGGCTGAGGTGAGTGAATTGCCTGAGCCCGCGGGTTCGAGACCCGCCTGGGCAACTTGACGAGACCTCATCTCTACAATAAAACAAAGAATTAGCCGGGCATAGTAGCGTGCACCTGTAGTTCCAGCTACTTGGAAGGCTGAAGCAGAAGGATCGCCGGAGCCCAGCAGGTCGAGGCTGCGGTGGCCGGGAGCAGCCACTGCACTCCAGTCTGGGTGACAGAGTGAGACTCTGACTCAAAAAAAAAAAAAAAGACTATGAAATAGTTTTAAATTATTTAAATATACAAAAAAAAAATGAGAAAATAAAAAAACAGATCAGGTAAATTCAAGAGAACAGTAAAACTGCTCTGGAATTTAAATATAATCCTGGAAATCTTAAGAAGTAAGTGGCCGAGTGCCGTGACTCATGCCTATAATCCTAGCACTTTGGAAGACCAAGGCAAGAGAATTTGCTAGAGCCCAGGAGTTTGAGATCAACCTGGGCAACATAGCCAGACCTTGTCTCTACAAAATATCAAAAAATTAGCTAGTTGTGGTGGTGCATGCCTGTAATCCCAGCAACTCAGGAGGCTGAGGTGGAAGGATCACTACCTACTGATTGCCATGTTCACTGTTTGGGTGATGAGTTCAACAGAAGCCCGAACCTCGCCATCACGCAATATACCCACGTAACAGACCTACATGCGTACCCCTTGACTCTAAAATTAAAGCAAAAAAGAAAAAGTGTGACCAGGACAGGGCTTCTGTTTTAGATAGGGTGATCAGGAAGGCCTTCCTGGGACTTCCATTTGCTCTGAAATCCTGATGAAGTGAAGGAGTGGACTACCTTGTTTAGGGGCAGAGCACTGCAGGCAGAGGATAGTTTGTGCAAACCCCTTGAGGTAGTCGTGTGCTGCAGGTGTTCAAAGAACAGCAAGGCAATCTCTGACTAGAATGGAATAAGCAGGGGAAGGTTTATAGTAGATGTGACCAGTCATGGGCCAGACTAGGTTATGTGACACTGGAAGTCACAGTAGGAACTTTGGGTTAACCCTGCCAGAAGCAAGCATAGAATTTTGGACAGAGGAGTAATATTAACTGACTTACAATCCTCGGGCTACCATGAGGGGAATAGACTGTAGGGGCTTAGGATAGAAGAAGCAGACTAGTTATTATAACAGTCTGGGCAGGAGAATTAGTGAATCATCCATATGGTTAGTTTATAGAAGAAGTTAGAACAATAGATTGGAAGATTTTTTGGTGCTGTGCTGAGATGATTAGACCAGGGAGGCTAATAGACCTTCAGGGGCCACTAATGATTCTGGGGTGCAGGGCAGGTGGTCGTAATAACATCAGAGCTAAAATTTAGAAAAAATATTTCTCAGCAATATTTATGATGAATTGGGCGGAGAGACTATACCACAGTTTACTGTCGTTGGAAATAACTTGCTTTTGTATTTCTTTGAACATCAAGAAAGAAAAAAACAGTTTCTTAGAAGATAACAAAAGACTGAAACAAGAAAAACAAGCTCTTGAAGTAGACTTGGCAAAAATGAAGAAAGAGAGGGACCAAGCCAAAGATCAGGTTGCTTATGCCACAGGTACAACACGAAGCTGAAGTAGTTTACCTTTATACTCATAACTGTTCTAATCTTGAATTTAAGTGACAGAAATTAAAGGGGTACAATTGAAATGCTATTTCTTGAAGTATATCATAATCTTTGAAACACTTTAAAAATTAGTTCTTGAAAGTTCTATGTATTTGATTGCATTTAACAGAAGTAATTGTAAGGTAAAAGAAAATCAAGAATTATTTTGAATTCATGGCATTTTGTTGTTTACAAGGCTGTTAACCCAGCTGTACTGTGACTTTCCTGAGGGAAAGATAGCTGGCTTTCCAGAGGTTTATTTTTGTTACAGGTTCTCAAGTATTTGCCAAAGGAACAAATAACACTACACTGGTTTTTATAGAGAATGCAAATATGAGTACGGCTTGGTCCCCACCAGGGAAAAACAAAGGAGAGAAAATAAGCATGCAGAAAACTTTAATGTAATAAAAAAAATTACAAGCAAACATGAGATGAATCGGGGTGCTAAGCAAGAGTTTCAGGAAGGAGAGGCATTTGAGTTGGGCCTTGACAGATAGCAAGATGTGAGAATGGAGGACTGAAGGGAGGTTGCTCGAGTGGCAGCACACAGACCCAGAACGGTAGATCAGAGGAGCCCTTGTTGACCGAAGCAAGGGTCTTTCTTCTACAGTATTATGAGCTTTGGTGTAAGATATGTGCAACTAAATCCATTTTGCCTACTCATAAGAAAGTGACATTTGCTTTCCTGTAGGATAATAATAATAGCGCCCATTGTATAAGTTCGTTGTAGTAAATAAAATAATGCATGATAATAAGCACTCATGAATGTTTGCCATTGTTACCTTTTAATATGATTGTAGGTATTCTTCATTTTTATTATCGCATGAATCTCACATTTAATTTCCCATGGAAACAACTTACATAATAAAAGTCAGTAGAAAAGCAATTGATTTACTATCAAAAATGTCTGCACTGTCAACTTTGCTACAAAGTTGAAAATTTGGATTATGAACACAATCTCTTGCTTCCTTTGACTAGTAGATTCAACTAGACACTGTCATATACATCAGTTGTTTTATGCCTCTTTCTCCCTATAATGCTTTTGTTAGCGAGGCATTCATTTTCATTTAAAATCTTTTCATTTATTTTCCTATTTTGAAAAATTACAAGCAAGCTACTGAGTTACTTTATCTTATAGGTGAAAAATTATATGAAATAAAAATTTTAGAAGAAACACATAAACAAGAAATTAGTCGTCTGCAAAAAAGACTACAGTGGTATGCTGAAAATCAGGAACTTCTGGATAAAGATGCAGTTCGGCTTAAAGAAGCAAATGAAGAAATTGAGAATCTCAAACTTGAGGTAATGATTACAGAGTGAATTTCTGTAGTTGAAGTCTGTTGTCCGCAGTATCTGTTCTGCATAATCTTGTGTCATTGTATCAGCACTCTAAACTCTATCAATTAAAATAGCTAGATTTGCTTTTGGTTTTCATTAAGCTACATGGATTATTTTTGACTACACTAAGTCAGAGCTGTCAAGCCCCCATGGAGTCTGCACCTTGCCTGTCTTTCAGCCTCATCTGATAGCACACTCCCTTCAACTCCTCTCCTCCCACCATACCAGAGTTCCTCTGGTTCTTGAGCATGCCAGACTTGTTACACTTGTTCCCTTGGCCTGGAATTGGAATTCTCTGGACCTCTCTGGGCGGCCTGGAATACCCTGGGCTTCGTTCTTTCCTCCTCCTTCAAGTCTTGGCTCAAATTTCTGCTCACCAAACAGACCTTTCCTGACTCCTTGTTTACTGTAGCTGCCAATCCCATACATCTGGCTCTTTCTTTCTAGCACTTGTCTCTTTCTGAAGTGATTTTATTTGCTTATTGATCCACTTTACTTATTAGCTTATTAACTGTCTCCCTCCACTAGAGCATAAATACCATGAGAGCAGGGTAGTTTGCAGTCCACATCTCCCACACCCCATGCCAAATCTTCTACTTCATGTAGAAGTACCTGGAACTTGGGAGGAGTCATTGTCTGCTGAGGAATTAGCAAATGAGTGAGTGAATTAAGTTACTTCCCCTGATGCTTTTCCATTATATTCTAAATGTGCTTCTTAATGTGTTCTTTATTTATTGGCAGGTTGAGAAACTGAAAGCTGAATCTGGGAATCCATCTATTCAGCAGAAGATACGCTTAAAAGAAAAAGCAGTTGATGCCAAAAAAATTCAGGATCTGGAGCGACAAGTAAGTGCTAAGGGTAAATTTTCATAAAGGTATCTTATATACAGTGCATTTTTTGTTTTCTCTTTTGTTTCAGGAGTTCCTGAAATGTAATCAACTTGGAAATTCTTGTTTTAAAGTAACATTAATGAAAACAATAAACGATATCATTTTATGTCATCTGCAGCTTTATAAATAATTTATAGACTAATGTGCCTCATTTATAAGATGGCAGGCCTATTGATGAAAGGTCATATTAGACATCTAGGAAGAAGAAAGCAGAATTTTGAAGCTCTGGTTAGAGTTAGAATTCCTCCTCTGACCAAAGGTAGCTGAGAGAGGAGTACAGGAGGGAGATCCTTGAGTTGGGGACATGCTGGTAATGCTTGCGAAATGTTACAGGATACCCTGTAGTCAGAACACGCAGCCACCTGAAGAGCTAGCCATCATCTTGAGATCTTGCTCACTGTTCAGGCCTCGGAGTATGCGTTTAGTGGCCAGTGTAGCTGGGAGACCTTTCATTAAAATCATACGGTAAAGCTTATTAGAATAAAGATTTTGCTAATTGGGAAATATTTGTTTGGGAAGCAGAATTGTAATTATTTTTCCCTTCTATTTTTAAAACTTTCTGTAATATAGCATTTATAATCATAACTAAAGATTAAAACAAGATAAGCATTTCCAGCCTTGCTCATGTGGGAGCATGATTCTCTAGTCAAGTCATGGTACTTAAACACACAGCCATTATTTCATCACAGATCCAAAACTGTGAGGTCATCACTCAGCTGAACATCATCCCAGTTTTAAGAGAAGAAGGAAAGCTAAGCAAAAACTTTGCTACTTTCGCAAAATCTGTTTTGATGTTAAAAGGTATGACTTGGTAGTATGGTTCAGGGGCCAAGAAAGGAACAGGCTAAAGGTGGTTTGAAGAGTTAGAAATAGTCTCAAATGATTTTCTTCAGTGTTTAAGATTTAGACAGCCCAATCTAAGACACAGTCCAGAATTATGAGAGAAAAAAAGTCCAAAGGAACTGCTTTTCCATCAGATGTCTTCATTCTAAGAGAAATCATATAAAACTGAATGCATGAGAGTAAGGAAATGAAACATACTTTATTAAGAGCAAAATTAGGGTTCAAATGGTGATCCATACTGACCAGAAGCATATCATTTTGTACAAGTTACCTTCCTCTTTGATTAACACTTATTAAATATTCATTCATTTATCATCTTAAATTATATCTTTTTAAAATAGTACCCACCATGTAATAGTATTTTATATAGTCGGATTGCTGCATGTACATTTTGGATCTTACACTGTTTTCATGAGCATTTATTTCTATCCTAGTAATTTTAAACCTTGGTATATTATATAATCAAGGTCTTATAATCAGTGTCTATCACAATATTTCAGAATCATTTTTGATCCATATTCTGAGAGAGTAATTATAAATAAAATATTTCTTTTTAAATAGAATATAAGTACAAATGGGGCTAATTAAATGCATGTTATAATGAAAATTTGTGTTCATGCTTTTTTATTTGATGAAATTTTTGTGGTTTAATTTTCAGTGAGAATTTTTTAAAATTTACTTTGTACACCAGTCACACTGGTATTATTGACCAAAGAATAAAATTAAAAAGTAAAATCAAAGAAGATAAATATAAACCTAATTTGTCCCCTAAAATGTAATAATACATTTCAAGATATCAAAACTAGATTGAAAATATTTAAGTTTTTTAATGAATGCATTAATTGAGAATGTCAAAATCATTTTTAAAAATTCTCTTTTAAATATATGTGGTGTCTATATATATGTGTATATTTCCATATGCTTACAACTGACTCAAATAACTAGTTTTTTGATACAAGAGAAAACAAAGCTTTGAAAATTTTCCAGATGGAAGAAATTATGAATATTTTTATTTGGATCTATCCTAACTTGTGATAAATCAATGAATGTGTCACAATTTTCACGAATGGAAACATTTACTGTTAACTTTGCAAATGATGTTACCCTTAAATACCTAATATGAATAATTGGTTTATAAAAAATAATTTTGAGCACCAGCAAACCATCTTCCTTTCCTTAGGAGAGGTCGTGTTTGGGATGAAATCGTAGTAGAAACCAGTGCTTTTTTTTTTAAGTCAAATGCTCACTCTGTCACCCAGACTGGACTGCAGTGGCATGATCGAGGCTCATGGCAGCCTCAGATTCCTGGGCTCAAACCGTCCTCCCTCCTCAGCCTCCCAAGTGGCTCAGCCGAGAAACGCGTGCCACCACACCGGTAAAAGCCAACACTCTCCAGGTCCTCTCCATGTGCTGGGCGCTCTACCAAGCACTCCCCACGATGAAAGCTACGGATTCCGTCCTCACCCAATTGCGTCAGCCCCTCGAAACGAGCGTCGTCGTCGTCTTCATCGTACTCGTGAAGCAAAGGAGATTTAGATGGAGTGGTTGATACAAGGACTTAAAGCTGGTGGCACAGTCTAACCAAGCACGCTCTTTTTTTTAGCTTTTAGTTTTTTTATTTTAGAAACGTGGGGTACAGTGCAGAGTTAGGTATGCACACGTTCATTACGCAGGTGCCCTTGGTGATGAGATGTGCGTCCCCCTCCCTCTGTAGATTCCAGTATTGCCAATCCTACCCCGGCAGTTTGCCACTACTTCCCATCCTTTTCTTACAGTATTACGATAATTATTCAGGGTCCACTTATGAGTAAGAGCGTGTGATACTCGGTTTCTGTGAAGGATCACTCAGTAGTATAGACTCTCAGTCCATCCAGGTGGCTGTGAAGTTCGTGATTATTTTGTTCTTCTTTATGGCTGCATAATATTCCTCGTGTATGTGTACCACGTTTTTTAATCCAGTCCTCTTTCGATGGGCTGCATGGTTGGTTCTATATTCTTGCTACTGTGAATAATGCTGCAATACACATATGTGTGCAGGTATCTTATCTATAGTGATTTGAGTCCTTCTAGGTATGTTCGCAGTAGGGGGATTGTAGGGCCCCATGGAAGGTCAATTTTTAGGGATCCTTTTAGGGATCATCACACTGTTTTCCACAGAGGCTGTTACCGGTTTGCACTCCCACCGACAGTGGAGGAGTGTTCCCTTTTCGCTGCATCCTCTCCAGCATCTGTTGTTTTTTGAGGTATTGATGATGGCCATCCTGACTGGAGTTAGGTGGTGCCTCAGTGTGGCTTTACTTTGCATTTCTTTGATGACCAGTGAGGCTGAGATTTTTCCATATATCTGTTGACTGCTCATGTGTCTTCTTTTGAGAGCTGTCTATTCATATTTTTTGCCCACTTTGTAACAGGGTGTTTGTTTTTTTCTTTTCAGCATGTTTGAATTTCTTGTAGATCCTAGATGTTAGACCTTTGCCAGACAGAGTTGGCAAATATTTTTTCCCAGTCTGTGGGCTGTGTCCCCACTCTCTTGATGGTTTCTTTGGCTTTGCAGACGCTTGTCAATTTGATGAGGTCCCACTTGTGTATCTTTTATAGCATGAGTGCTTGGGGTTTTGATCAGGAATTGGTTGCCGGTTCCCATTTCCATAAGGGTGTCTCCTTCATTTTCTAAGGTTCTTATAGTTTGAGGTTTTACGTTTAGGTCTTTGATCCATTTAGAGTTGGTTTTTATGTATGGTGATAGGTACAGATCTTGTTTTAGTCTTCTGCATGTGGTCACCAAGCATGCTCTTAATTACTGCACTGTATTGCCTTTCAGGTCTATTTTTCTGCATGTTCATAGGCTAGAAAATGGCTCAACAAAGTATTTAGTGTTTGAATGTATTTTCAGAGATACCTCTACCATTTATACCTTTCAAAAAGCAGGTGTGCACACATAGGCATATAAGATGTGGGACCCAAAAAAACAGAATTATTTTTTGGAAGGCAGGCCCCTTGCAGCAAGGGCTTCCCCCATTAGGTAAGTGTTCTAGGAACCCATTGATATCAGTGTACCTGCTAGAGTTGTTGTGAGAGGCTGCATTCCGCTTCAGTGAATGTTTTGTTGTTGTTGGAGATTCCTTTAACACGTTTGCCTGTTCCGTGATGGGTGATTTATGAGTGCATCTGCCTCACCCCACACTGTGTTCTACAGTTTTTGGCCAAAAACAGCATGATGCCCATGTCCTACCCTCCCTGTTCACCCAGTCTCACCCCAAGGAACTTTTTTTCCCCTGGATTAAAAAAGTCTTCGAAGGGAAACATTTTGCCAATGTGGAGGAGGTGAAATAAAAAACTGGCAGCAGCACTAAAAGGCATCAAAATTAACAAGTTCAAAAACTGTTTTGAGCAGTGGAAAAAGCACATCGATAGACACATTGCATCAAACAGAAAGTACTTTAAAGGTGTGATAATAAATACACAATTTTTTATAAATAATTTCTGAGTTTTTGGGGGTCCTTTCTTGTATAATATCAAGCTGTCATTTCTGTGGGCCCTGGTACATTTCTCTCTTTCAGAAAGATTGCGTAATATATCATTGTTTTCTAGACTAAATGAAAAGTTTGTAGTCTTGTATGAAGACTTCAGTAAATGTTATCTAATCCTCCTTACTTTCCAACGGAAAGAAGTAATTTTAAATTAGATTAAACCTTTTGTGAAGGTGGATCCTTTGAGAAAGGTTATAGTGGGGTGGAGATTGCTGCAGACAGGGACCGGTGCTTAGAAACTGTATATTTATTGCAAAAAGTTCACACATGTACATGTAATTTTTCAATGAGTAGATAGTAGAAGCACTATTGTATGAGAGGGTCTGTGGAAAAAGGGGAGAAGGAAGAGCTTTGTGCTTAAGAGGACTGGTTATTACTAATGCGATAGAAAGACTGAAGATGTGTTTCAAATGAATGTAAGAAGATTTCTAAAAGCTAGCCAGAAGTTAATTAGATATTATACTTTAAGGTTTCTTTAAATAATCTAAGGATATAAAATTTGAGATTATGCTTCTGTGCATTTCATTCATTTTGGATACACATCTAAATCATCAATCTAGACATGATTGGTGTAACATAATCTAAGTTTATGCATTAAACTGCTTCATAAGCTGGGCTCGGTGGCTCAGCCTGTAATCCTGCGCTTTGGGAGGCTGAGGTGAGTGGATTGCATGAGCCTGAGGGTTCGAGACTCACCTGGCCAACTTGGCGAGACCTCATCTCTACAATAAATCAAAAACTCGCTGGGCATGGTAGCGCATGCCTGTAGTTCCAGCTACTTGGAAGGCTGAGGTGGAAGGATCACCAGAGCCCAGCAGGTCAAGGCTGTGGTGGCCGGGAGCAGCCACTGCACTCCAGTCTGGGCAACAGAGTGAGACTCCAACTCAAAAAAATAAAAAATAAATAAATGCTTCATTTTACATGTATTGTGGCCTTACATACATTCACAATATTTTAATAGGTTAAGGAAATGGAAGGAATTTTAAAGAGAAGATACCCCAATTCATTGCCTGCTTTAATATTAGCTGCATCAGCAGCTGGTGATACAGGGAGTAGAAATACAGTGGAATTTATGGAAAAAAGGATAAAAAAACTAGAAACTGATCTGGAAGGCAAAGATGAAGAAGCAAAGAAAAGTCTTCGTACCATGGAGCAACAGTTTCAGAAAATGAAGGTAACTGCAAGGTGGTCATAGATTGAATACTCAGAGATGGACCATGGGGCCTGGTGCTTCTTAGAACTCACTTTAACCAATAACTCTAAACATTTTTTCCCATGAAGCCTATACCACAGATGTCAGTAAGAGTAAAATTGAGGTAAACCCATCCTATCTTGTTGCCAGCAACTTTACTTTTTATTCTGACATGGAATAATTTAACACTGGAATTTTTTTTTTTTTTTGGTCAGAATATCACTCTGTCTCTCTGGCTGGAGTGCAGTGACGTGATCATGACTCATCGCTGCCTCAACCTCCTGAGCTCAGACAGTCCTTCCTCCTCAGGCTCCTGAGGAGGTGGGACAGCAGGCATGCACCCTCACATCTGGCTATTTTTTTTTTGTAGCAACAGATGAGGTCTCGCTATGTTGCCCAGGCTGGTCTTGAACTCCTGGGCTCAAGCAGTCCTCCTGCCTTGGCTCCCAAAGTGCTAGGACTATAGGCATGAGCTGTCACATAGCCAGAGGATAATCTTTACATCATCCCTCTTAATATTAGAATGAGTGGAAATTAAGTCATGTAAAAGCAGAGTAAAAAACCCTTGATAAATATTCAGTATAAAATGAGGCCTAAGTGCAGTGGCTCACACATGTAATTCAAACACTTTGGGAGGCTGAGGCTGAAAGATTGCTTGAAGCCAAGAGTTTGAGATCAGACTGGGCAACATAATGAGACCCCATTTCTAATAAAAAAAAAAAAATTAGCTAGGCATGGTGGCTTGCACCCATAGTCCTGGCTACTTGTGAGGCTGAGGTGGAAAGATCACTTGAGCCCAGGAGTGGAGGTTATATAACACTTCACTCCAGCCTGGGCAACAGAGCAAGACCTTTTCTTGATTGATAGACAGATAGACAGGAAGGAAGGAAGGACGGACCATGGTTGAAAATATTTTCACTGAAGTTTATTTAGACAGAGTGAGCAGAAGTATATATTTTAGGAGTAGAACAGAGGACATCTCCCAGAAATGTCCTCAGAAAGTGAATCAGAGAATACAGGTGCCAGAACAGACCAAGAATGAAACAGAACATGATCTCTTATTTAGTTTTTAAAACGTTTTTATGGGTTAGAATTGTTAATTTACTTTTAAAAATATGTTAAGCATATGGTTTCTGTGAGGAATTCATGCCAGATGCTTTTGCAAACATCTCAGTTTATCTTGCATAACCCTTCCAATCACCTGTGAGAAGTAGATATTGTGACCCTGTCTTACAGATGAAGGAACTGAGACGTTCACAATTTCATCACCTTGCCCAGGGTTCCCCAGCTGGCAAGTGCCAATGTTAGGCCTCTGACCCCAAAACCTGGGCTGCACTGCCCCTAGGATGCTCATCTCCTTCCCCACAGTTGTCTGCTCTGAGAGAAACAGCAAATGAAGGAACAGTAGATTCCAGAAACAGTAAAAGGTTGGCTGTGTGAAAGCCAAAATTGGGTCTCTTTTATCTTCAGAATCTGGCCTAGTGCCCGGCACAGTGTCATAGCTCAGTAAATAGCCATTGAATGAATGAATAAACAAACACTGCAAATGCCTCTCTCCTTAGGGGAGATGATTTCTTTTACTACATACTGAACAAAATACTACAGCGCCAGTAGATACATTTTAAGCTGTTTTACTCTCTGTGAGATTAAAAATTGGTGTTAGAAGGTTGAAAATGCACTGTTTCTCAAAGAGGTTTGTACCCCAGTGGCTTTACCTTTTTATCCCAGATAGTGTGTTTGACGGTTTGCTCAGAGAAGGGTGCATAATGATGGGTTTGATTAGGATGTGTAAAATAAATTTGGGGGTGTGAAAGAACATGTAAGTTAATATTTATGAAACAGCATATCAATTATGAAATCATAGAACAAATCAATTCTTAAATTATAGAGCATAAATCAATAATATATCATGTTATGCCCTTAGAGAGTAGTACATCAATACATTTGACAAACTCAAGGAACACAGAGTGCTGGAGACATCAAACTGCATAAAAAGTGCCTAAATGAAGGACTAGGTAGGACCAGGTAGTATGCAGGGCCTCAGCAACTAATGAAATGTTTGACTGGGATTTGGCATCACATGGATTTTTTTTCTTCAGATTCAGTATGAACAGAGACTAGAGGAGCAGGAGCAGCTGCTTGCCTGCAAGTTGAACCAACATGACAGCTCCTCCAGGGTTAAAGTGCTAGAGAAGGAACTCAGCGACATTAAGGAAGCCCATCAAATCACTGTAGGAAAGCTTGAAGCTGAAATAGATGTTCTTAAACATCAGAATGCTGAATTAGAACTCAAGAAAAATGATAACGATGATAAAGACTTTCAATCTATAGAATTCCAGGTTGAACAGGCTCGTGCGAAAGCTAAACTGGTAAGACTCAATGAAGAGCTGGCTGCAAAAAAGAGAGAAATACAAGACCTTTCGAAAACAGTGGAGAGGCTTCAGAGGGAAAGAAGATTGATGCTGTCGAATCAGAACTCAAAGGGCAGGGAGGAAACATCTGCCAAAAGGGCAAAGAGAGATGTTTTGCAGCCAAATAGAGGAGGTGCTAACTTCCCTGGAACCCTGGACAACAAGCTTTACCAACCACGTACTTTCATGGATTCCCATATTTCAGAGGTTTTACAAGAAAACCGCCAATTGAAAACTGAACTAGAGGGATTAATAACAGAGAGGAATGTGCTTAAGATGAAGTCTGAAGCAGCAGTGAACCAGTTTGAAAACTCCATGAAAAGGTATAATGTTAAATTACTTATATGGGGAAATAAAAAGATAAAAGTTGAAGAATTATAAGCTGTGTTTTCTCTGGATAATTAGTCTGGCCCTACTAAATTCCTAAGTGAATATTAAATCATATTATATTGCTGAGCATAGATCTGTTTCAGGATAGGGTCCTCTACCTGCTGGTGGCCCAAATTCTGAAGAACTTGAACCTACATGTCAACCCAAGCCATGTCTTGGGCTCACCAGTCTTGTCTGTTTGCATGTGCACAAATAGTGTTAATAAGCTGACTCACTGGCCCCTTCTTGCAAAGGAATGTCATTCTTTATGATTGCTACAGGCAGATTGCTGTCAGAAGACAGCTATTATTAGAACTGGTTGACGATCTGAGAGGAAAAGGTCTTCTTTTCAAAAATAACTTCAAACTGACCTTGTGATTACATTCATTTATGCCTTCAGGAACTTTTGTGCTCACCCTTTCCTCAGAATCGCCAGCTGCTGTCCGCTCTTTCCTCTGAATCGACTAAAATCCTCAGATCTTTTTGTCACGTGACCAAACCAAGTTCCAGTCCTTTTTCTGTCTTTCAGGGCCAGTTTCTCACAAGTAGCCTCTTGTATTTCCTTCTGACTTCCTCTTAAATATGGTTCTTGTCGCCCCAGTTAGACATGGCCTCAAAAATGACCTTTTCCAGTCCAGTGATATTTTCTCCATCCTTTTTTTCCTTGACAGTGTTGGCCACATGACCTTTCCTGAAATGGTTACCTCCCTTAACCTGCGTGACTTGGCACCTCTGACTAAAACTCCTTTTCTGCCAGGCGCAGTGGCCCACACCTGTAATCGCAGCACTTTGGGAGGCAGAGGTGAAAGGATAGCCTGAGCCTAGGGGTTCAAGACCAGCCTGGGCAACTTGGCGAGACTTCCTCTCTACAATAAATGAAAAAACTATCTGGACGTGGTGGCACATGCCTGTAGTTTCAGTTTCAGTTTAAGCCTACTTAGAAGGCTTAGGCGAAAGGATGGCCTGATCCCAGCAGGTCGAGGCTGCAGTAGCCATGAGTGCCACATGCTGGCCTGGGCGACAAAGTGAGACTCCCACTCCAAAACAAAGCAAAAACTCCTTTTCTGTTTCTTTTACTGACTTCTAACTTCTCTTCCTTCTCCTTCCCCCAAAATATGGCTTTCCACCAGCATTTCATTCTTGGTTTTCTATTATTTCTCTGTTGCTAAACTCATCCATTCTTACGGCTTCTATGAACCATGACTCCTAGATTTACTTTTAAAGGCTGTCCTCTTCCTTGAGTTCAAATGTTAAACTTAGTGTTATATTGGATTGCTTCGTTCGGAATCAAAATTACTTCTGGTTTTATCTTTTTTTTTTTTTTTTGCCATCTCTCTCCCAAGTTTCCCATCCCTGTCTATAACCATATTTATTTCAGTTACCAGACCCGGTCTTGCCTCCTTTATTCCTTGGGTTCACCGCCTATAGGGTGCTTCCAAATAAATATTTCTTGTATTGCTTTCTTTCTTATAGTGATAAACCAGTGCAGCCTGCCTGGCTTACTATACAATTCTCTCATGCCAGTCTCCCAGAAGTTTGTTTCTACCTCCCCTAGCCATCTTGCTCAAAACCGTTATTATTCTTTAAATACTTATGAATCTGAGTCGCTCTGCCCTCCAATGACTCCAGACTTCCTTAAATATCAAGACTGAATTTCTCTGCCTGGCATCTTAAGGCCCATCACCAATTCCAACTACTTGCCTAATCTGTCACATTCCCTTATGTCTCTTACTCATCTTGTTATAAGTCCTACCCCTTCCACAAAACATTTCTTGGAGCTTCCCAGGAAATTGCCTGCTCTCACCCCCCAACTCCTACACAACGTAAAATCTGTACAAAAAAAGCTTAGTAATCATACACTTGTGACTCCTTGAGAACCGGTGTGAGGCGATGCTTCTTTTTGCATCCCCACAGCAGCGTGGTATAGGAGCAGAATGAGTGTAGGGAGCACTTAGCAAATCCTCCTTGATTGATAGATTGGCAGCCCTAGTGGTGATTGAGTTATTATGGCAACCGTATTGCTTCCAAGCTGGAATCTTGTTTCTTCAGTCCAGCATATGATAGTAATATAAAGCTAGTTGGGAAGAGCCACACTCTTTCCTAGAAATAATTTAAAATTCAGGTTTTTCCTATAAATTATAATTTAACATTTTGTAGTATTACCAATCTGTTTCTTAGATAGATCTGGGGCTGAGAATTGAGGAGTAAACTTTCCTAGTCCCATATTTAAGCTTTTTACTACTAATCAGTTATATCATGAGTGCTTTAGGTTTTTGTGCTTTTCCTGAGACTCTAACAACTTTTTCTGTGGAGAAATACCATAGAGTAGATAAGTGATAAATTTGTCTGTAGTTTGGGAAGTGCCATATTAATATGTATCAACAGCAATTTAGTAAAATATCTGCTTTGGGTAAAATTCTGTCATTTTCGAATAGTCCTTCTAATAAGTGAGGAATGTTTTATCTGTAAGAAATGTATCAGACCTTTATTTATAACTTTACAATTTACTAAACTGCCTCTTGAATGCATAAATTTTATCACAGAAATGATGAATAGTCTCTCTTACTTACAGTCCACATTAAATAGTTGCAGTTTGCCCTTATGCCCTGAGAATTATTGTAAGATCCTTGTATTCTCATAACATGCAGCTAGCCCTGAAGACATCACATAGCTCAACTGGTGAATGCTGCCTAGACATGAAGCATTGCCAATTCTAAAGGGGAGCAGCTGTGATTATCCAAATAAGAACCTGAGTCTATCTTAAAAGATAAAATGTCAAATGGTTTGCTTTAAATTCAAACATATTTTGAAACCTTAGATTCTCTCAGATTCTCTCTGTCCTCCCTAGGCTGAGGACAGAGTACAAGGCCCTGGACGTTGAAGCCCAACTCTGCTGAGCTTGAACTCTAGCTCTACAACTCACTGTTCTGGAACTCTAGATATGTCAGTCTTTCCTCAACTCAAATTTGCCCTTATAAAGTTCTCACTAAGTAATAGCGAGCTCATGGATTAGTTGTAAGAACTCATAAGCAACCATGTGTAAAGCATCTAACACAACGCAATCAGTGTTGGTGCCCTCTCTCCCTTGCTTCAATTTTCAGGCTTCTTGCACTGCTTTTTGCTACCTGTGAATTAGAGGCTGAAGAGCCACTTTAACATGTGGTTTTCTTTCATTTGCTCTCTAGGGTTAAGGAAGATACTGCAGCGCACATTTCATCCCTCAAAGCATCTCATCAGAGGGAAATAGAGAAACTCCTCTGCCAAAATGCAGTGGAAAATTCTTCTTCCAAAGTAGCTGAACTAAATCGTAAAATAGCAACTCAAGAGGTAGATGGCAAATCTATTTTGATCTTTCTTTGACTTTAATGAGTTTTTTTTCCCCTCGGGACTGTTAACATAATTTGGATGTGTTTCAGCTTTTTCAGGTTGGTGATAGAAATAGAATATTGTTATTGACTTGGTTTTTTTTTTTAATAGAAGGTAATACATTCATTATCATATATATTTAGCTTTTCTACTTTAAAATTATACTATGTAAATAAGTGTTATAACAATTTTGTCCCTATACTTTTCAAATCTTCCTCTAAACTAAGTTGTAATAGATGGATGAGGTGCATGTCTGACATGATTGGTACCTTATTACTTAAACTTGGATGGTGAACCATCTCCTTCCACCCTAAGTCCCAACTGACAAATAGTTATCCTCAGGCATTCTTCCTGCCTATTACCTGTTGTCCACTAAACAACTAATGATTTGGGTCTGTTGACAGTCAGGCACTGGGGATAAAATAATAAACAGAGAAATACACAGCTGTAGCTCATATGAAGCATAGTCTCCTAAGAATTATTAAAGGGAATGCTGACAATTCATCAGCATTTTCTCTGATAAATATGTCTTTCTTCTTGAATAACAGGTGTATCTACTTGAAATATCTATGAACATTTACAGTAGGGCCTATCTTCTGTGGTATTAGTAGGTTAGAAATAGCATTAACATAGACCTTATCTGCAACTTACTTTCAGGTGGCATATCCAAGAAAAAATAAAAAGAAAAGATGGCAAAGTATTAGCAGTTCGTGAATCAAATTGTATAATATATAAAGGTTTATTGTGCTCTTCATCTTTTCTGAAGATGAAACTAAGGTCTTTATTGTGAAAAACAAGCTTGAGGGGGGAACTTCAAGAAATAATTACCTCACCTCCATCTCTTCCACCTGTAATTATTTTAATGCCATCTCAATTAAAAATTCCTCAATTGGAGAAATATGAATATGGGCTGGCTATTAGATATTAAGAAATTATAATAAATTCTCTGAAATATAAAATGTTATTAAGGTTTTGTAAGAAATGGCCTTATAAAGAGATACATGTTGAAATATTCAGGGGTCAAATGTAATAAAGTCTGTAACTTAACTTCAAATAGCTCAGGAAAAAAAGGACTGTTTAATACTTTAAGGAAAACTAATTAAAGTGCTTTTCAAAAGTAGCAATCCCTACAGCCTTACAGATAACCTCTCTGTTCTTTTTCTCTCATAGGAGTAGGTGTCAGAGGTAGCTGTAAGCATTATGTTAAGTGATTTTATAGTAAGAAATATTCTGGGGACGAGGTAGAAAAAGTGGTATCATAATGCAAAAGTGCTGTAAACTTTTTTCTCCCCGAGTTGCAAGTGTAATATTGTAAAATTGTAAGTTAAATGAAAATCAACATAGTCTGATCATTAAAAAAAGTAGGCCGGGCTCGGTGGCTCAGCCTGTAATCCCAGGCCTTGGGAGGCTGAGCTGAGTGGATTGCCTGAGCCCGCGGGTTCGAGACCTGTCTGGGCAACTTGGCAAGACCTCATCTCTGCAATAAATCAAAAAAAAAATTAGCCGGGCATGGTAGCGCATGCTTGTAGTTCCAGCTCCCTGGAAGGCTGAGGCGGAAGGATCACCGGAGCCCAGAAGGTCGAGGCTGTGGTGGCCGGGAGCAGCCACTGCACTCCGGTCTGGGTGACAGAGTGAGACTCCAACTCAAAAAAAAAAAAAAGTTAAAGTATAGCATTAGAGATAAGAGATACGAATTTTTCCAAATTCTCATAGCTTTTTGGTGGCAGTATCTATTCATATATTGTAATTTCTTTGCCTAAAATTATGAGACTGATATCTATTTCACAGAAATTATGAGATTTGTGTTATATTTAGTCAGTAACTCTTTAATAAAACTGTTATCCAAGGCCAGGCACAGTGGCCTCATGCCTGTAATCCCAGCACTTTGGGAGGCTGAGGTGAGAGAATTGCTTGAGTCCAGGAGTTCAAGACCAGCCTGGGCAACAGAGTGAGACCTCTTCTCTGTAAAAAAAAAAAAAAAAAAAATTAGCAGGGTGCAGTGGCATTTGCCTGTAGTCCCAGCTACTTGGGAGATTGAGACAGAAGGATTGCCTGAGCCCAGGAGGTCCAGACGGTGGTGATCCTTGATTGTGCCCCTGCACTTCAGCCTGGGTAACAGAGTGAGACTCCAACTCAAAAAAAACAACTATTATCCTGCCTGATCACAAAGTATAAAGATAATACTGTTCACTTTTTACCTGATGCTTAGACTTTATGAGGCTTTTTTTTCAGAGCAAACTAAAAAGCCGAGATAAAGAGGTTTATTTTAAAGGGAATTTTCCAGTCATGAATTGACATTCTTTATTTTCCCCTTTTATTGGAATGTAATAATTTACACATGTATGCGGTACAGGTGTTTGATACATGCATAGAATGTGTGATGATCAAGACATGGTACTTGGATCTATTACCTAGAGTGTTTGTCGTTTTTATGTGTTATCATTTCAAGTCCTCTCTTCTAGTTACTTTTAAGTTTAAATAGGCCGGGCTCGGTGGCTCAGCCTGTAATCCTGCGCCTTGGAAGGCTGAGGTGAGTGGATTGCCTGAGCCCGCAGGTTCGACCCCCGCCTGGGCAACTTGGCGAGACCTCATCTCTACAATAAATCAAAAAAAATTAGCTGAGTGTGGTAGCACACGCCTGTAGTTTCAGCTACTTGGAAGGCGGAGGCAGAAGGATCTCCGGAGCCCAGCAGGTCGAGGCTGCGGTGGCCGGGAGCGGCCACTGCACTCCAGTCTGGGTGACAGAGTGAGAATCCAAATCAAAAAAAAAAAGTATAAATAATATTGTTGCTAAATATAACCACCCTAGTCTACTCTCAAACATTAGAACTTATTCCTTTTATCTAACTGTATGCTTGTACTCACAATCAGCCCCTCATCTCCCCTTCCCAGTCTCTGGTATCTGTCATTCTATTTTCTATGTCCATGAGATCAACTTTTTTAGCTCCTACACGTGAGTGAGAACATGCGTTATTTCTCTTTCTGTGCTTGGCTCATTTCACTTAACATAATGACCTCCAGTTCCATCCACTTGCTGCAAATGACATTATTTCATTCTTTTTTTATCACTGAATAATATTCCATTGTGTGTACATACCATATTTTCTTTATCCTTTTGTCTGTTGATGATACTTAGGTTGATTCCATAGCTTTGTTATTATGAATAATATCACAATAAACATGTGCATGCAGGTATGTCTTTGATATACTGATTTATTTTCCTTTGGCGAGACACCCAATAATGGGATTACTGGATCATATGATAGTCCACTTTTAGTTTTTTGAAAAATCTCCATATTGTTTTCCATAGTGGTTGTACTAAATTTACATTTCCTACCAACAGTATATGAGTTCCTTTTTATGAGTTGGTTTTCTTATATTTTTAAAATATTGTTCAAGGAGAAGCTTTATTATTCACTACTTATAATAATTTTCTAGGTACTTATAAAACATTTTCAAAGTCAAATTAATGAGCTGCAAAGTAAACAAGAATCCCTTGTAGTTTTTCAAGTTCGAGAAGAAATCCTACAGAAAGAGGTAAGAAATAATATATTGGGCAAAATAAGCTTTTCTTAGGCTTTTTACCATATTTACGTATAAATTTTTTAACTTAAATGTACAAATTGACATAACCTGAAAGTATCTTTCACATGTCAAGAAATATTAGTAACTTGTTATATAAAGTGTGCTTTCCCCAGATCAAGTTCAAATATTAAGTCATTAAATTGTTTAAATGTTTTATTTGCTGTTGGAATTTTGGGGGGCATTGGGGAAAATGGTCTGGGAGATGTTTGGGTTTGGGGTTTGGTATTTTTAGGAAGTAAATTTAAATAGTGAAAGCCTTTTCTGTGTTAAGTCTTCTCAGGGAGAAAAATAATTTTTTCCTTATTAACCCTCATGAGTTCTTAGTTGACATAGATTCTGTAACAAAAGACAGATTAATAAGAGAAAAAAAGTTCATTTACACGTGCAGCACATAACACAGGAAAAACCTCAACACAAAGTAACTCAGAACAGTGGCTTAGAACTCTTCAAGTTGGAAGTTTTGGACAGATTTGGGTTAGAAGTTGTAAGAAATGATACTGGCAAAAAGAGAAAAACTGTAGACTAGAACAGATACAAAAGAACTAATATAAGTACAGAGTTCTCTATCTTATTGAATCTTAATCCTGAGATTAGGTCAGCTCAGCTAAATAGTTGTATCTCATTGTAGATGGGCGCCCATCAAAGTTAGACTTCTTTATGGTGACTTAGTAAGAGGTATTTCTGCGGAAACAAAAGAACAAAGGTTAATGGTTGGAGTGGTCTATGCACCAGTTTCTGAATCCTAAAGGCAGCCACTCAAGAAGACTTACAGATTTATAGATGGGCTCAAAGTGTCTTTTACAGTGTCTCTGGTGCTAGGTGTGTGGTCCCATGGCAGCAGAGGTTTTCATTCAGCTTCAGGAAAAGTGCAGTTTTAATTTTTAGTGACTCCAAGCAAGAAAGATGGAGAAAAATTGGAAATATAATTTGGAGAATGATAGCCGTTTATTGGAAGAAATTAGAAGAATGAAGGATCTAGACCAGATTATAGGTCAATAACAAAACCTTAGAGCTAACGAACAGGACTAAAATCTAATATCTACAAGGGTGTTTTATAGTTTTCTACTAAGCCATGGATTTTTTCTGTCTACAGTCACCCTCATAACTGTCAAAGATTACCACAGTAAGACCGATCTGTTTGCAAAAATAAGTCTAGTCTCATTAAACTTGGCTTATGTACATAAGTGATTGATCATTGCTGGAACTTTTAATAAGGAATCTCAGATTGGACCTTTAAAAACTTCTTCAGAGCCGGGCTCGGTGGCTCAGCCTGTAATCCCAGCACTTTGGGAGGCTGAGGTGAGTGGATTGCCTGAGCCGGCGGGTTCGAGACCCACCTGGGCAACTTGGCGAGACCTCATCTCTACAATAAATCAGAAAATCAGCCGGGCGTGGTAGCGTGCGCCTGTAGTTCCGGCTACTCAGAAGGCTGAGGTGGAAGGATGGCCGGAGCCCAGCAGGTCAAGGCTGCGGTGGCCGACTCAAAATAAATAAATAAATAAAAGCCTCCTCAGGGTAGGAAAGCATGCCAAGGGCTTGCCATCAGATTTTATCTACAGTACCTGTTAATGTGGGCGAATTCCTCTCTTTTCCAAACGTCCCCAAAATATCCTGAGGTTCTTGGGCTTGCCAGGAAGTGACATTCCTTACCCACCTGTAAGAAAACCATATATACTAGGTACCGCCAGTTTTTTCCAAGGGGCTTTATTAGCTTAATAAAGTCAATGTTTAAAAAAAACAGTTTTTTAAAACCGTCTGGTCATAGCTGGTTCTATGCACATTCTCAAATATGACGTTCCAGTCAAAGCCTTGGTAATGTAACTAATATTTCCAGTTGTGTCCTGTTAAAAAGAACATTTTTATTGAAGCTATATTGCAGTGAAAATAAGAAACTCTGTAATAGTTTCTGGAGGGATAGGTAGGGAGGAAAAGATAAATAATTTACCAAATTGCTGTAAGCTATAGATAGCTTAAGAGAAAGGAAAAAAAGTTTTCTTAGATCTGAAGAACAAAGTATGTAAGAACCAGCAGTGTTTCAAATAAAAAGACCATAGAAAGATTCTTCATCAGTTAATTCAGTTCCATGTAATTATTTCTTGTTCTGCTTGATATTGAGTTTTATGAGCTAATCAGTATTAGAGCTCTGGAAATTCTTACCCAGCCCAGTGTATGATCTTAAAGTTATCAGAAGCCTGTACTTGTCAGAGTCCTTTCCATGAATCTCCTTGAAGATGAAACACTTGTTTTTATAGTTGTTTGCAAAAGCTTTCAGGAAAGTACCAAAGTAAAATAATTAACGATCTGTGAGTAACAGAAGACTTAAAAATAGCCGTGGTTGAACATCTGATAAGAGCTCATAACAAGGCAATTCACATGGAAATTTGGTTATTTCTGTGACATTCTACATTTATAATTCTAGTTAATATCTTAAAATGTTATCTATCACAGAAATAACTAGAAGTATACTGATAATATCATACTAAGATATATCAGATTTCTAGGGATTTTATACAACTACTGAAACATAACATATCCACACAAGTATAGCTCAAAGAATATTAAACATTATCTTTATTTGGCAACGATTCTCTTTCAACTTAACATATAAAATAAGCCTAATTAGTTTACTCTTTTTATAAGGAGAGAGAATAGATTCCTTTGAGGTATTCCAGGGGCCCTCTGGAATATCCCAGTATTAATTTGAGGTGAAAAGAACTTCATTTAGAGTTTGATTTTGGGAAATTGTCAAAAATACCAAAAGGTTTAAAACATTTGATTAAATAGGATCACAGGTTACTGTGAAACAAGTCTTGGTTACCAATGTGACAAAAGATTCTAAAGGCAGATAAAGAAAGTTACATGGTGGGAAAACTCAATTTTCCTGAGTAATCAAAGACCTAATAGAGACCACATAAAACGTAGGAAATTATTTCAAGAAAACATAAAATATATGTTTTCGAAGCAGATTACTTAAAAGGTAAAGAATATCTTTTGCAGTCTCTTATCAAGAGACCAGTGCTCCAAGAAAGCTCTGTTGTTTTAATAGAGAAAACCATCTTCTAGTTTTGTACCACTGTACTTGTAATATTCAGGCTTATTTTTAAAACCTTTATAATAAGTTAATTCAATTTTAGCCAGATTGGGCACATGAAACATTCGTTCTCAAACTTGTCATCAAGTTTCCATTCGGTTTTTGTCTTTCGTTCTCCTTTTTCATTCTAACCCAACCTGCCATTCTATTTTAGTACAGAATTAATTATTACTCTGTTTCTCTGAACAAAAACTCACACCTCAATTTTCCTTACCAAAACTACACTTTATTTTCCTTGTATATTTTGCATACGGTTGTTTCCCCTATCTCTAGTAGTTTTAAATTGTCTATTTTAGAATTTTTAATCCTTGGTAACCTTAATTTCTTGTGAAAACTACAAAGTAAGCAGTTGTGATCTATCATACACCAACATTCTGTAGATTAGCACTGTTTCAATAATTTCTAGAAGCATGTTTTTTAGTAGTAGTTTTTTAATGTAGCAAAAAAAAATGTGATTAACAGTTTCAAACATCTTTTGTTTCTCTGTAAAATTCAAGAGACCAAAGTAGATAGAATTATGTTCAACAGCTAATGTTTCAGTATATGTGGAAATGCTCTAGATATGCAGTGAATATTTAATAACTTAGCAAAACTCTAATGATGTAAGTTACCAAAGAGATTTGGGGAAATATTTTTTTTTCCCAAACTTATGATAAAATATGATCATTATCAAAAAGTTCATTTGTAAGTTTCATCCCACTAATATTTAGTTTATTCACTTTTTCTTAAAAATTATGTTTTAATTGCTCATGAGAATGTAATGAGTCTCTAAACAGCTAGCCATCATCTTACAGTATTTTCCTACTTTACAGTATATGCATGTTAGGCAAACATCACAAAAGCAAGAACCTAAAAGTCAAATACATGTTTTTCTTTTCCTGCCGGAATAGGATATGGCACTTCAACTCGCACAATTGAACTCTTACTCTTATCATCTTAAACCTCTAGTCGAGAAACTTATTTGACTAGTAAATACAGGTAGAATAAAAGTTTTGTGGTTCATTATATTCATGTTGACAACTCTGAAGACATGCCTATTTTCATTAAAACAACCATATTAAACTAATCTTATATACCAGAGATTTACCTTAGCCATGTGAACTTGAAAAGTATGTGGATTTGGCTCTATACTTCTGACAGTTTTAGGAATTCTTAATTTATTTAAGTGCTTCTTTTTCTTTAAGCCAATTAAATAGCGCTCTTTTACAAATTACTTTTGGCAATACCTTCCAAAGGTAAAAAAACTTTCAAATATACATACATACATACATATACATAAAAATAGATGCAAACAGAGATTATGTAGCTTTAATTTTAAAATTTTAGCCATGAGATAGGTACAATAAAACTCACTAGAAGTTGGATACAAATTGTTTTTAGCAGCTGAAGTAAGTTTACCTGTTCAGATGACCCAACTTTTTACCAATATTTGTAAAGAAAACTTTTAAGCCGGGCTCAGTGGCTCAGCCTGTAATCCTGCGCCTTGGGAGGCCAAGGTGAGTGAATTGCCTGAGCCCGTGGGTTCGAGACCCGCCTGGGCAACTTGGTGAGACCTCATCTCTACAATAAATCAAAAAATTAGCTGGGCATGGTAGTGCACGCCTGTAGTTCCAGCTACTTGGAAGGCTGAGGCGGAAGGATCCTGGAGCCCAGCAGGTTGAGGCTGCGGTGGCCGGCAGCGGCCACTGCACTCCAATCTGGGCTACAGAGTGAGATTCCAACTCAAAAAAAAAAAAAAAAAAAGAAGACTTTTAAAATTTTTCATTTGCCCTTTGTAGGTAATCTTACGGTGGCTGTGGGACTAATTTGGGGGTAAAGAAGTTTAGCAGTTTGTTTTTTAAAAAACCCTCTCCTTCCTTTC